CCTTCACCTTCACCTTCACCTTCACCTTCACCTTCACCTTCACCTTCACCTTCACCCTCGCCTTCGCCTTCACCCTCGCCTTCGCCTTCGCCTTCGCCCTCACCCTCACCACCTCCCTTTCCTCCCTTTCCTCCCTCTCCCTTACCTCCCTTACCGCCCTCACAATCCGACTCATCTCCAGAGGATTCGTCTCCAGAGGACTCGTCTCCAGAAGAGTCACCCTCATCACCCCCCTTGTCACCACCGCCCCAACCCTTTCCCTTACCACCCTTTTCACCACCCTTGTGGCCGGCCACCGACTTGCCGCCGGCCTGGACACGCTCGTGGGTCTTCTGTTCAAGGGGCGAGCCTGTCTTCTCCGGGCCGTTAACGCCGTCGATGACGGCCGCTCTGCGGACTACCTTGGAGGACTCATCATGACCGGATCCAGAGGCGGGCTTGTCGTCGCCGTGGTCGGAGTGTTCGTGCTCAGGTTTGTCCTTACCGCCCTTGTGGCCGTGTTCCTTGGGGCCGTGTTCGTGTTCCTTATGGCCTTTGCCCTCGTGTCCACCCTCTTCGTGACCTCCATGCTTGTGGCCATGCTCGCCCTCGTGGCCCTTGCCTCCATGGCCCTTGCTTCCGTGGCCGTGTTTATGGCCGTGTTTATGCCCATGACCTCCCTTTCCGTGGTGGCCCTTCTTACCACCATGCTTCTTGCCGGCATGTTTGCCGCCCTTGTGCTTGTGGCCATGCTTACCACCCTTCTCACCCTTCTCACCCTTCTCACCCTTCTCCCCATCGCCTTCGTCGAATCCGGATCCGGCTCGCTTATCGACGGTATTGGTGGCATTCACCAGATCCAGACAAGCGTCATCCGACGGATCACAAGCGTCGTTGTCATCATCGTCACGCTTGACGGTCGCCGCAGTGGCAGACGTAGCAGCAGAAGCGGCAGAGGCAGCAGAGAGAGCCGGGATGTCGACCGCGCCGGTAGCAGAAAGGCCAGCAGAGCTCACAGCGTCCTTGGCGTCGTTGGGGGTGAGCCGTTTGTCATTGTTGACCGGCGCCGGGTCCGGGGACATGCCCAGGGCACAGGCCGAGAGGGCAGCGGCGGCGACGATGGGAGCCTTCATGATGATGTATGTAAATAACCGAGTCAAAGCGAGAGACTTAATCAAAGATGTTTAAGGAAAAGAGAGAGCGAGTGATATGTGGTGGTTACGTCGAATAAAAAAAAGAGATGAGAGCTGAGGAGAGTAGAGAAGCTGGCCTGGAAGAAACTCATGGGTTTTTAAGCACCTTTTCGTCGCATGTCGCTGTTGACTTCAAAATACACATCAACATAACAACATTGGAGTTGCTAGAGTTGCCGCTCGGGCTACAACATGCCCGAGGACATATCATACATGGGCTCGACAACGCGACATGGTCATGGCCGAGTCGAGACTACCACTACAGCTTCGTCAAGCAAGGTGTCAAGGCCGTCAAGTAAGAAACAAGGAAGGGAGATGACCTAGGCCGGAACTCAATGGCAACGTGACCGGTGTACGGAATAAGGGTTTGTTGTTTTGTTTGGATATCTGGTCCGTGGCCAGTCCGAACACGGGGTCTGGGAGTTAACTGATCCACCACCCCGAGGTCCGTTCCGAAAATACCCCCTTTTGCCCCTGCTTGCCTGCCCACCTAATATCGCCCGTCCAATGTCCTTCACACAGACCGCAATATGTCGGCCGACAACCAAGTGTGCAAATGTGGTACCGGGCTCTCCTCCATCACCATCCTCAGAAACCATCCTTCGAACCTGTTCGCCGTGGCGACGCAACCCTTTCCTGAGGGGATAAATATCCATACGCCAAACACTCAGACACACCCACACACCCATATACCCATGATTCCCCGATTATATGGCCCCTGCCCAATTTCAGTTTCGACTGGCGATGGATACCCTTTTATGCAAATAAAAATAACCAGTTTCTTCTCCAACCCTGTCATGCACAGACTGCCCCAATTCCCCAAGATGCTTGCTTCTCTGTTTTGGCCCGCAAAGCTACCTCGGTTGTAACCTCACACATTCTAACACCACACAACAATGGAACTTCAATTACTCTTCGGGTGCAGGGGAAAATAGCTCTATACGCATGCGGTGGCTCTGTGAAAAAAGACGAATCAATAACGACCCAAGCCTCAAAATATTCCATGCCACTGTGAGGGAAGGAAGAACAACTTACAAAGGGCAATTTGGGTATGATGACAGCTAGAACCGCCAGAAAATTGATTGTGAAATACGCCAGGTCGTAATGTGTGTAGTGGGTGCTCAGCAGGAAGAGCACGATGGGAACGCTCAGGAGAAACTTCTTGGAGGGTGTGTATTGGGCGCCGTCGTCGATCTGCTCCCACATGTTGAGGTTGTCGTAGGCGCCGCCGTTGAACTCGAACGGTACCCCGCGGACGTAGTGGAACATGATGTACGAGCCAAACATGTACGTAATGTTGGTAAGCGTCCAGGATGTTTCCTGGGAGACGCCGGGCATGATGTCGTAGAAAATCTTGAGGCACGCGATCAAGACAAAATGTATGGTCCACGCGCCTGTGTAAAGAAACAACATATTCTGTTAGCAGGGGAAACGCCCTTCGTGTTTTGCGTGTTTTATCCCATGGATGGGATGGGACTAGACTAGGTCATAGTCACGGGATCATAGCGCACCTTTTGCGTTGACCCAGTCGGCGTTCAGATTCGGCAGGGCGGATTGATCGCTGAGCTGCTCAATGGGCTCGGGTGGCTCATGGTAAACCTGAAGAATGCTACTAGATCTCCTCCTCCGGCCGGTTTTTTCTGCCATGGTGCCGTGCGTAGCCCCACGACGCGGTGGGTTGGTGCCCACGTCGTAAGAGACGGTGCGAGAAAGGAGGATGGGGGACGACAGTTTGGCGGTGTTGTGTCGCCGCGGGAGTGCGACGCTCGGACGGGTATACGCAAAGGGGTACGAGGTTGGATAGTTGGGGATCGAGTGTGTTGTTTTGAAGGCGCTGGGAAACCAAACTTCTCGGTCACACGGCGATGTTGACAAGGACAGGGCCTGCTTGCCCAGATGATGTCACGGAACGGAACGGATAATGCGGTCGGGACCCCTAAATGGAGACAATTGTCGAATAGGTTATATCTCTTTCTTGGGTTTCCCCGATCGATTGAGATTTGGACCTGCTCGGCTGGAAAGCCGTGCAAAGGGACAATGATGTACGGTGGGAGAAACTAAAAGATGCGTGATGGCGAAGTCGCCCACGGGAGTCCGAAAAAGCGTTGGGGACGGGCTCGAGGTCGGGATCGGAATCGGAGTCGGGGAGAAGTCTTGGCCGGGAAGTGCGAGTCCCTACCAGCAGGCGAGAATCTCACGGAAAAGCCTGCGCGCGGTGTCGCTGCTTGGCCGCGTCGAAAAGATCAATGGTCGGTATTGAACGAGAGATGGTGAAGGGAGAAGAAGGACGCTGAGTTCAACGGTTCTCGCATCCGCCGAGTGTCTGGAATAGTATCCCCAGACCCCCAGATTGGAAGACGCGAAAAGAGGCAAGGGGGGGAGAATTAGGGAGGCCAATGGGAGCCCGTTATCTCGGCGCAGGCGGCGATCTGGCCAGAACCCGCCCAACCCAAGACGCCGGAGATTGGAGAGGACAGCTGATGGGCCGGGAAAGATGGAGCGAAATTCACAGCTCGGTTGAAATATTACGTGGCCGAGCACGTTACGCGTCAAATATGCGCATATGCTCTGGTCGGGTGTGTATTTCGTCAGCTGTCTTTCGTATTTCCCCCTGTGGGACTTTCCGCATCAGAGTGGGGCATTGTGGCTTGGCTCCTGGCTCAACCTCAAAAACTCCATCCAGTGGGGCTTTCACAACTGCACCCAGCAAGAAACTCTCATCAAAGCTTGTACTGCGTCAAGCGAGGCGGCACATCCCACGGGCCCTCTTAGCGGAACGCGATAATTCCTGCGCCGGCACGGGGAATAACGTTAGAATAACGACTCTCGCGGCCCCGAAATACCAGGCTCATAATCGTGCGTGTTGTGCATTTCGCCCAGCGCGCCGGTTTCTGGTTCATCGAGCCTAAAGCTGTTGCATCTTCGCCGAGTTGCTTCTCACCTCATTTCCATGTTCCAGGAAGGAAGTCAAAATCTGAGTGTGCTTTCGATGCAAAACACAACACGCATAAAAACAGTACTACCGATATGGGACGAGATTTGGACAACACCACAACTGATGCCATGGAACCACCGGATCAAGCACCAAAGCCGGACACAATCGCAATGAACGAGTCGGTTGTTGAGCCAGCTGTTCCAGCAGATACGCTAGGCAACAAACGGCCGGCCTCTGAACCTGCTGACCGCCACGATGGAAGCCACGCGGGGGATACAGAAGGCGCTCAGCACGCTGGGGTCCCGTCTCTGAAACGGCTCAAGACATCTGGCTCTCCGAACGAGATCAAGTCGCCGGAGGCCATACCTGCGCAACCGGAGCCAGAACAAACTGGTTCGGCGCCCATCCAGGCGCTCTCGGGGGCTCGCAGCGGCTGGAACCAGGGAATCGTCGGTGGCCTGCGGACGTCGTTCGGGGCGAAGGAAAAGGCTCGCAAGCTGCCGTCTCGCCAGGCTTCGGAATCACCCGCGCAAGCGGCGCAAGCACCAACGACGGAGACGACCGACATCGACGATCTGGAAATGCCACCAGAAGAGGCCAGTGTCTCCAAATCTACTCCTAAGGGTGCTTGGCCGGCTATCTTTAGAAGGTGGTGCGTCCGATTGCTAGCACTAAATCAAGACCAAGCAGGTTTGAGGAACGACCCAGCTATGTTGAAGGAGGCGTGGGGTTTATGGCTGGAGGCAAGAGCGTCTTTGCCGCGAGGCTATTGCATCTATGCCACGAAGGTAGCCCGGAACGAACCACTCGACAGCAACCAACTCGGGACCATGTTCTCTGCGGCCCTTAAAGCCGACCTCCAGGCACCGTGGAACGTGGACGATGCATCGCTTTCCCTGGGACCTTCCAAGAGCGTTGCTAACGAAAGCAATGGGTCGCCGTCGCTAGGCGGCCAGGGCACAAACGCCGGCTGGGTGCTGCCGCCGCTTCCTCCCTCTTCAGAGTTTGATGTGGGCTTAAAGGATGAACGGGCTTGGGAGATCAAGTTCCTTGACTGGTGCAGGACGCTGATCGGACTAAACGCAGACAAGATCAAGGTCGACAGTCCGAAAGACCGATCGCGGGTCACAGAGGCGTACTCGAAATGGGTTGGCAAAATTGACGGGCTGGTCAAGTCCAGGATGAGCGCTGCCCGGCGTGTGGCGACTCATTACGCGCAGGACAACAGCGCATTGCTCGTCGCCTTGTTTTTCGGCACCCCTCCCGGCGGAGGGGACCGGAAGAGCCTAGGTTCCACTTCAAGACCACCATCGCCATTACCACCACCACCTCCTCCTCCTCCGCCTCATCCCCCTTCTGATCCTCTCCCACCACCACCCCCACCCCCGCCGCAAGAACCCGCGGGTCCTACTCTTCCAAGCCGGCCCCCCGCTCCCCCCTCCGTAATTTCTCTTTCTAGTGGAACAGACGAGGAAGAGGGTGAGGCACGCGTCGAGCCGAGGGAGATGCGCCCCCGCGACAGCGAGGAAGAGTACTGCGAAACGTACTACCCCGACGCTGCTGTATCCGGCGGGGTATCGTTTTGCCACGCCTGCGCATCTCGAAGCCACAGCGCGGCCGAGTGCCCCGAGAAGACGTGCCGCTTCTGTGGTGACCGGGAACACCGTACTTTCGCCTGTCCAACGCGTGTCCGATGCACAAAGTGCAAGCAGCTTGGTCACCGCCGGCATGACTGCCGCGAGAAACTGGTAACACCCGCGGATCAGTTGGAATGCGCATTTTGCGCATCGCGGGAGCATGGTGACGCGTCGTGTCACGAGCTCTGGAGGAGTGTCCGGCCCGCGCCCGACACGGTGCGGAAGGTCCGCGAATTACCCATCTACTGCTACAACTGCGGCTATGGGGGCCATTACGGCCCCGCCTGCGGGCTACTGCCGGTGCGGACAAAGGAGGGGCCTTGGGAGACGTGGAGTCGAGCCAATGCCGAGCTGTACCAAGACGCGGCCTCGTCAGAGGTGGCCGTGGCGTTCGAATCCTCCCGTTCTTCCGGCTCGACTAAAACCACGTCAGGGCGCCCGGACTTTGGGAAAAGCATCGTCCCGCAACGGCATATTTTCTTCGAAGAGGATGATGACGAGGATGATGATAATGACGCAGGGAACTTTATACGACCGCCTGTGCAGAGGAATGGACCGCAGCGAGTTGGGCACCACCAGATTAGTTTCGCCGGCGGCCAGCAAGGTCACCAGGGCAGGCCGGACAACCAACAGCAACAACAACAGCAGCAGCAGCAGCAAAAGCGATTCAACAGGGGACCGGGGCCTCATCCGGGGCCACGGGCGCCGCGGGGTGGCCGGCGGGGTAACGAGAAGCCGTACATGGGCGGACGGATGGCGCAAAGGAATGGGGAGCGAAACAACCGGATGGGCGGGTATTGATTGGGATGGGCGAAACCGCGGCGAGAATGGCTTGCGGTGTATCCCCGAACCCCCCTCAGCAGTGAGAAAGCAAAGAGGGGTAAAGAAGGGAATGCCCAGCGGTTACTCGGCTTCCACCGCTAGGTGCGGAAGCATTACTCCTCACGAGGGAAGGGCGTGGAATTGCATCGACGTAATGATAATGATTTGTGGTGTCACCATATACCGTAATGTACATATCTGCTATTATACGATCTAGAGGAGGATGCGGAGTATTTATTTCTCAGGGGCATAAAAGGGGTTGCTGATAAGGCAAGGAGGGTACATGGGCCAAAAGCATTGCTGAGATCCAAGAACAAAACGCGATATTTACTTTTTGAGTCTGGACCCCAAGGGTCAGGGTGTCACATTTGCAATTCGAGGACAATCATTAACGTTAACTCGAGTAATACGCAATACAGAGTACCGTGATTGCATACCGATACATCGCGGTGGCACGGGCATGGGATGTACAGGACAAAAAGGGGGAAGGTTTCATCGCGGGTGGGTTCGAAGCCGGTCAATGGCGGTGAAGAAGCAGACGCGATCGGTGAGGGAAGATTGATCTGTGGGGGAAAGGGGGCCAGAGTGGGACAGCCGTTGACCTAGGCCAGCACTCCCGCTTCGGCGTGGAGCTGTGTGTAGTCGAGGTTGCGGTGTGGAAAAAAGGGCCTTCTGGAAAATAGTTCCATTCCTCCTCCGCCCACGAAAGTTTTGACGCTGGTCGACTGAGGCGATGCGGGGTGGAGCTCGGCGCACAGAAAGCAATGGATGCGCTCGAAAGTGGATTGGTGGAAAGGCTCCATTGATGGCGAGAAGTGCGAAAGCGGAATTGAGCGCGAACAGTTCGACGCGTCTGTTTTCTCCCAAGGAGTTGGAACCCGCGGAATGCTGCCCGCCGCCCTCCCGGCCCTCTTGTCTCCCCGCCCCCATTGGGGTCGCAGTCGTGTAAGTCTTAGACTTGAGGTTTTCGATGTCGTCGAGGGAAGTCGGTGCCAGGAGCTCAGATGGAAGATCGGACACGCCCCAGATGGGATCACCTGCAAGGGCACTGCCCCTCCTCTTTATGGGAACCGCGCTCCTGGGCCGCGCCAGTTTCGTGTGGGAGTCGCGCGTCTCTTGCGGTGCATCGCGGCCAACAGCCAATCAGCAAGCTTCGACCGAGAATCCCAGGCGATTTGGGAGGCGATGATTGGGCCGCTGTTTCGAAACTCGCGGTTCTGCCCTCCGCTCTGCCTATCGATAGCGCTTCCCCTGTCGTTTTCCCCGCAGCCCCTCCTCGACCATGCTGCAGCGCGCTGCAATTCGATGTTGCTCGCTGCAAGTTGCTGCAAGCTGCTGCGAGCCGGCTGCACTCCTGGCACAAGTGTTTCCTGTTTCAACGGCTCTCACTGGATGGGAGCGGCCCGCGTTGAGACGACCCGCAGCAGCGCGGGACCGCTTTTTTTTCTCTTCCCCTCTTCAACGGACCATTCAACTGCGTCCGGCGCGGTCCGCCACGTTTGTGTCCGACCCGTCCACGTCGACCGCGATCGTGTCGAGCCAGCTAGTTCCCTGCTTTTCTTCCCTTTCGAATCCGTTTTTCGACTAGCCATTGGAGCCCTGCGCGCTGTCCGCTGCGCGTTGTCCGTCGCCCGCTCTTGCTTCCTGCAAATGCCGGGGATGCATGCATGGGGGAGCAGTGAGTCACCGACAACTGAGAGCCACTCGTTCTCAACGGTTTGGGACGAGCGAGCGCAAGGGCAACAATCGCTGTCTTTGCCTTTCAGAAATGGCGCGCCCCGGGGGGGGGGAGGGGGGGTGACGCGAGGGAAAGGGAGGGAGGGAGGAGGAGAAGGTGGTGAAGAGAGAGTGGAAGAGGGAGAGAAAGAGGGAGGGCGAAGGGTGGGAAACCCTACTTGCACACCATGGTTTTCCGGATGGGGTGATTCAGATGCCAGGGTCCCTTTTCGGCTTGTTGATGAAGAGCCTCCTCTCCCCGTCTTCCTCATCTGTCCTGATTTCTCTGGCTTCATCTTTTCCTCATCTTGCTATCCGTGACTCCCTGGTGGTGTCTTTTTGCTCACACTCGGCTAGCAAGACTGAAGGCCTCTCTCATTTACAACAACATCTCTTTTGAACAAGCATCGTCCTTCTTGTCCATAGCGCTTACATCTACTATCTATCACCTATTATTACCACAATTCTATCAACCACAGCAGCAACAGCAGCAGCAGCAGCAATAACAGCAACCGCAACATCAGATTATCTTACTATTCGCAAACCGGGAAACAGCACACAAACATACGACTGATTGATTACCTTTGTCCTTTGTCCTTTGTCAAGTTCAAGTCCCAACCAAGGACCGGCTCATACCGATAAACAAACGCACACACCCACATACACTTTGAGTGATCACGACATGCAAGTACCATGGCGACCAATCCACAAGCATTCTACTGCCTGTGGCAAGACGACACCGTCCGTGACACTCTCTTTGACCTGTTGCCCATTGAGGACCTCCGCGCGCTGCGCCTGGCCAACTCGGCCTGCTGCAACCTGGTCACCAAGAGACTATTTCTACGAACCCACTTGACCTTCTCGGCCAACACCCTGACCAAGGCCAGCCGCATCGAGGCGCTGTCTCGCATCGGCCACCACATCGAACATCTCACCTTCTCCTTCCCGCACTCCCCCGCGACCTTTCTACCACCCCTCATCCACCCGCAGACAGGCGAGGAGATCTGCTTTCTGTACAGCCCGCAGACCTCGACCGAGTCCGGTCTAACGCGCGCCAAATATGGCGACTCGGAGCTGGGAGAGATCCTCACCCAGCAGTACCCGCCGCTCTTCCACGCAGCCACCCACGTGTCGTCCTTCATCGCCGCCCTGACCCACATGCCCAACATGCGGCATCTCACTGTCCGGACCCCCGGGCAGTCCCCGGCCGAGCGCTACCGCCGCAGCGTGGTTGACTACGCGCTCATGAGCCTGCGCATTGCGCTCGAGCGCGCCCCCCTCGACAAGCTGGCCAAGCTGACCCTGTCCGGCGTCCACCCGGCCGCGTTCCACTACTTGCGCCACACCCCCGGCGGCTTCGGCGCGCTCCCCTCGGCCGCGCGCCGTTGGCACCAGATCCGCAAGCTGTACATCTCCGTTGACGCCTGGGACTTCTACCACGACGTCGCGCCCGGGTTGGACCAGCTCAAGATCATGGACGACTACATCCGCACCTTTGCGCCGCGACTGGAGAAGCTGTCCTTCACCTGGCTCGGCCGCCGCGGGCCGTGTCCCCTGGCGCTCGCCGGCGACCCGCTCTTTGCGCCGCCGCGCCACAGCAAGAAACTGTTCCACGAAGTCACGGGCCCCATGTCACCGCTGCCCGCGCGGCCGTTCCGGCGGCCATTGGTCCTACCGCGGCTGCGCGCCATGACGGTGCGCAATGCGACGATGAACGTCGACCAGCTACGCGGGCTGATCGCGAGCCACAAGCATACCGTGCGGGAGTTTGACTTTGAGAACGTCGCGCTGATGCGCGGTGGCAGCCGGGACGAGGCGCTAGCGCCATTGGAAGAAGGGGAAGACGGCGAGAAAGAAGCGTGGTCCCGGCGGTCGATGGGCGCCGTTTCGACTGCGACTGCGAGCCGGCCCAGCACGTCGCGGTCCAACTCGTCCGGCTCGGCGGTCGCGAGCTCCGCTGAGGACGAGCACCTGCCCGAGTCGTCTGCGGCAGCCACGGCAGCGAGCCGCGAGCTGTTCGAGGTCGACCTGGAGGGCATGGTGTTTGGGGGCGCTAATGACATCGCGGATGTTTCCACGTTTGAGGCCGGCGTCGAGGAGTGGGCGCGCGGCGTCACGGCGGCTGCGGCGGCCAAGGATGCGTCCCGGCCCAACTCAGCTTCTGGGCGGGCAGCCGCAGATGACGATGGCGGTTTGGCGTCGGACATCGAGGCTGCGAGGCAGGCGAGCAACGGGATCTCGACCAAGCTCAAGAGGCGCCGTGTGCGCCGGCGGTCGCGAAAAGAGGAAGGGGATGAAGGGGCTGAGGTCGAGAAGAAGGACCATGCCTCTGACCACTATGAGGAGAAACGCCGGAGCGAACGGAGGAGCGAACGTCGCAGCGAGGAGTGTTACAGCGAGAAACGCCGTAGCGAAGAGCGTCGCAGCGAGGAACGCCACAGCGAGCGCCGCGGCGAGCTTCGCCGTCATCATAGTAGCGGCAGCAGCAGCCACCACGGCAGCCATACCAGCCGTCACAAGCACTCCCGCAGTGACGACACGAGCGAGCGGCACTCATCCTCCAGCCGGGATTCACCACGCCGGCGCCGCCACCGTCGCCACCGTTCCGAGGAGCCCGCCGAGATGACCTTCATGCCCGAGGTCATCGGCACCGACGACGAATCCTACACACCACCATCCCTACCCTGCACGCCTCCCCGTGCCCCCAGGACCCCCAAGATCGACATGGGCATCAGCGTGCCCATCCTCAACCTGGCCCCTCTCCCAGTCTTGCTGCAGCCTACGGTCTACGACCCGTCTGCCAAGTGCAACCCGCTGATGAACAGCCCCGATTCAGCCTCATCCTCATCAATCCGGACGGCCTCTGACGACGACGGGCTCTCCCCCACACAGCGCACCATCGAGGCCGACATGCTCGCCGAGGCCCAAGAGGCTGCCGCGCGGTCGTCGGCGCTGCAGCGCGCCAAGCAGGCCGTCATGACCAAGCTGTCGCGCGAGTTCTCCAAGCGCAGCAAGGCCGAGAACGGCGATGACCGCCACCCGCGCAGCAAGGACTCGGCGGCTGTCATTGCGAGCCTATCGACGCTCAACCTAGGGATGAACCTCCCTTCGCATCGCGGCAGTGGCGGCAGTGGGAGTAGTGGTGATCACAGTAACTATTACGGGTTTGGCGGCGGACTGAATTGCGGATCCTCGTCGTCGAACGTCGCTCACAAGCTACGCGAGGGCCTCTTCGGGCGGAGCTTGGCGAATGTGTCCATCGCCCCGGATAACCGCAGCTTGGAGAGCCAGACGGCTCTAGTGCCGTTGATCTTTAGCCGATCGTAAAGAGTGAAAGAAACGGAAAAAAGGAAAAAAAATTGACGGATGACGGATGATAACGACGATGACAACCATGACGATGATGAGGACAAGGGACCGGACGAGGGTCTGCCATGACGGAAAGAAAAAAGTAACATGATACCACTGGAAAACCGGGAGGCTTCTCCCTGACTACGACTTGTAATGAACTTCCTTTTGTTTACATTTCAATGATTCAGCGGCGCAGCGGGACAACGAAAATAAACAAATTTACATACTATTGATTGACCATGAACATTGACCCGTGAAAACACCAACACCGCTTCAAATGTGGAATCAGTTAGCATTACAAAAGCGCATAAATGACATGTTTTGTGAGCTGTGACTGGCCCGGACGGCGCCAACGTCCCGAAGCTCGAGACAAGAAGACACCCTTTCATCATGCACGAGCTTGGCCACGGGCAGATAGAGCTAGCCATGGGGAATACCGTTTGTATTAACCTTGCCTCGGCTTGATTTTTCATATACATCAAATCTTCGTAGTCGGTTTCAAAGCAGAAGACTTGAGCTCCCCGCGGTTTCTCTTCAGCTTGGGGTTGGTGAGGAGGTGGGGTACATACAATTCAGGTGTGGCAGCTCGGGGAGGACAATGGTGGCAAAAAAAAAGGGAAAAGGGAAAAGGAAAGCAAAATAAGTAACGAGTAGTTGGGCTTGGAGATTCTCGAGAGAACACAGAGCGGTTCTCTCAGCCATTTTCATAGAGATGAGTGCGATCGAACAAAACATCAATGATAGAAAAAAAATACCAAAAAACAAGCGTCTAGGCGTGCCTAGAATATCAGAATACCCACAGGACTTGGACCGCAACAAATGGACACCGTTACGCAGTCCTCCGCTCAGAGGGCGCGAGTTACCAATCGGGAAGGAAAGACACAACATACAATCGAAAAATCCAGGCCACTTCTTCGATGGGGCCGCCCATGAGGACCTGGGTCTAGATTGATTTTGGCTTGGCTTGGCGGCCTGGGGGAGCCAATCATGAACGACCTCAAAACGAAGGCCCCGGCCAGGGCTGAGCAAAACCCCCGGACCCGTCCGAACGAAAGAGACAAGACTCACTCAGAGAGAAGACATTGTGAGTCTGCGACAAGCCCGGCCGAGCCGGACGCGTCCAGGCTCCACATACGAAGCACAGGAACCAGTCGTACCTCGCCCCAGCTTTCTGTTCCCCAAGCTCCCCGAGCTGAGCTCTGCTTGCTGCGAGATTGCAATACGCTGGGTCCTGCATGAATTCTTCCCCCTCCGTCGCGAGACGGGAAAGTAAGGACCCACTGATCATCCCGTCGCCAGAACTGGAGCTTTTTTGGGGGAGGTTTGCCGATCAGTCCGATCTTTGTGGCAGCGAGCGACATCCGAAAGACTCTAGCCCACAATTCCTCGAGACACCATCAACCACCCCGTTCAACACCACGGCCGCTCGGTCGCCCAGATTTTCGATCTTGTGAATAATTCATCTTGTGGATAAATCCTGGGGGTTTTCTCTTGCTCCTCTACTCTTTTAGTGGCTCGGCCGTAAAGCTTTCGAGCCTGCGCTCTACTAGCCACGTATTGTGCGTGCGTGCGTGTCCAGATCTCGATCTCGGATCACGCCCATGCCAGCGTGGTGGACGTCGCGGCGGCAGTAGACCGTGTTCATCCCAAATTGACTCAGAAGGAGGTGGAATCGCAGGCCACTGGACCGCCCGGAGCAGAATTGAAAGATTTGCTGCGCCCGAGCCCCTTCTATCCACCCGTCAAACTACCGCCGAGAGTCCGGAATTGATTACCGTGTGGGAAACTCTACGACACGCGTTCACATCGTCCGCAAACAACGGGTTAATAGGTGGTGCGGCCCTGGCTACACCCCGTTTCTACCCACCGCCGCTAAACCGGGAGCCGAATTAAGGCACGCCGCTTGGAATACCCCCAATAATATGCCTCGGGTGCGGTGGTCTATTCCTTAGACCCCCCGCCCTTCGTCAGCCATGAGGATCGCTATCCGCGAACAGCTCGCCGCGATCGTGATACTCGCTGTCGGCGTTGCCCTCGCTGTGGTCTGCATCCCCACATGGGTCTTCGTCAACAATTTCGTCGTCGGAGTCGAGTCCGACGGCCTGTTGTTGACGGCCTCGCTCAAGGCCGCTAGAATCGCCTCCGAGATCACACTCATCCAGACGACCTGCTCAACCATTTCAACGCGCTTGCTGCTCCAACAAGCATTCGGCAGATTCTATGCAACTCAAATTCAGAACGCAACCGGGGACGATCCTTGGGAAGATGCCGAAATCGACATCCGGAGTGCTCTAAGCAGGACCGGGTTTAGTGGTCTACTCCAAGCAAGACTAGGTTAGTGACTAATTATGCCTTGCTCGCCTTTTCCTTCCATCTCCCCTAACAGACCAATGCTGTACAGATTGCTAACCTTGTAATGTAGTGAGTTATTTGTTCTTCCTAATCATTAGCATTCCACCCACCCCAAGGATTCGATAGGGCATCAGTTACTAACCAACCTTTGCTTGGCAGTATTCACGAAACACGACCGGCGACGCCAAAGGGCTGCTCAGTGTTACGGGCAATGGCGCGATCGATTCTGGGTCCATCCTGCTCCCTTATAAGGCTCCCAATGGTTCCGAAATCCACCTGGGCGACCCGGACTATGGCTACCCCCCTTCGCTCTACCCCAACATTAGCTACGTTGATTTGGGTCGTCCTAATTCGGCTATGAACAACACAAACGCCTTCGCAGCCACTGTATTTCCCGGGGTATCGTTGGGCAATGGAAGCGAGAAGACGGGCGTGCTTCTTGGGCCTCTGGTAGTCAACTCGACGTTTGCTCTCATTTCCATCACCATTCCTGTCCGCGACGTCAACAATACGGACTATGTTCTTGGTTACATGACTCTGGTCGCCAACACGAAAACCTTGGTCGAAGTCCAAACGTCTGACGAAGGCGTGGGATCAACCGGTATCGTCTTGTTCGTAGGGTCCGTCAACCCCTGGAACCACTTCGATACGTCAGTCGCCGCTAGCAATGCGACCTGGATCCCGCCGGCAGATAAGTTTAAGCAGCAAGAGGTGCGCTTTCTGCTGCCGCCACAGGGGCCCCAGCAAAGAGAACGACACAGTCACCGTTGGTTCGGGACCGGCAATTATGCGGCGCCCTTCCATGTCAGCCAGTACCCGGCCGTGTTCAACGTCCTCCAAAACCGGAATTTAAACCCCAACAACGCGAGCAGTATGCTCTCCACGTACAATGAGCAAGGGTATCCGGTTGCCGTCGGCGTGGCGCGGCCCAAGACCTCGTTGGTGTCTTGGGCCATTGTCGTGGAGAAGGACGAGAAAGAAGCGTACGAGCCGATTATGGAACTGCGGCGCATCCTCCTGAGCTGTGCCTTTGGTACTCTGGGCGTCACCATCTTGCTCGTCTTTCCCCTGGCACACTGGAGTGTGTTGCCGATCCGTCGGTTAAAGGAGGCCACCGAGAACTCGATCGATCCACCGGGCTATGAGTCCGATGAAGAAGAAATATTTGATGACGAGAACCCGAGCTCTGGCGGAACGACATCGGGGAGATCGTCTGAGAAGGGGATGATTGCCAAGCTCCGCCGCAAAATACGCAAACGCCGGAAAGCTAGGTTAAGGGCCGCCTTAGCCACCGAACCGGGCCGTCAGCGGTTTAAGATCCCCGCTAAGGTCGAAAACGGGAAACATGTTGTAACGGACGAGTTGACGGAGCTCACCCAGACCTTCAACGAGATGACGGAGGAGCTGCTCAAGCAGTACACTTCACTCGACGAGAAGGTGGCGGAACGGACCCGGGAGCTGGAGATTAGCAAGAAGGCCGCCGAGGCCGCCAATGAGAGCAAGACCCTCTTTATCGCCAACATTTCACACGAGCTCAAGACGCCCCTCAACGGCATCATGGGCATGTGCGCCGTGTGCATGGAGGAGGAGGATCCACAACACATCAAGCAGTCTCTCAAGACCATCTACAAATCCGGGGATCTCTTGCTCCACCTGCTCGAAGACTTGCTCCATTTCTCCAAGAACCAGATTGGCCAACAAGTTAGCCTTGAAGAACGTGAGTTTCGCCTTGGAGACGTCCGGTCACAGGTACTGTCGCTCTTCGATAAGCAGGTCCGCGAGAGCAAGAGCGACTTCACCATCAAGTTCGTATCCGATGCAGCCGGCGAGAACGCCCGAACCAGCATGGACAAGAAGCTTCCCGCCCTTGGGCCCGCAGGAGTAGGCCGGCTGAAAGACATGTGCGTCTGGGGCGACCAGTACCGGATTCTCCAGGTCATCATCAATCTTGTCAGCAACAGCCTCAAATTCACGCCCACTGGCGGCAAGGTTCAGCTGAGAATACGCTGCGTTGGGGAAGTTGAGCAGCCAGGCGACGAGAGCAGGACATCATCCTTTTCCAAGACGAGCTCCAGCCGTCTAGGGCGCCCTCGGCATCGGCTGGGCTCGGGGTCCATCAACTCGATGAGCTCTAAGGGGGGCCACGTCCCATTAGCGCCGGGCAAGCCGGTCCCGGCCATCTCCATCAACCCAATCGACTCAAAGCTCACCCCACACGTCCAAGCCAGGGAACGCTCGCTGACCCCTCCGCCGCCGAACGCGAAGACGTACCTCTTTGAGTTTGAGGTGGAGGACACAGGGCCCGGCATTCCCGAAAACATGCAGCAAAAGATTTTTGAGCCGTTTGTGCAGGGCGATCTTGGCCTCAGCAAGAAGTACGGCGGTACTGGCCTCGGCCTGAGTATCTGCTCGCAGCTGGCCACACTCATGGGTGGGCACATTTCGCTCAAGAGCACGCCTGGTGTGGGGACCACCTTCACGATGCAGATCCCTCTCAAGTACATCAAAGACCGCGCGTCCAGCACGGCGTCCAGCAGTATCAAGTCGCGGCCTGCCAGCGTGGGGTCGACCGAGGGCGGCGACGTGCGATCCATCGCCCAACGCGCCTCGGCTGAGACCCCACATCAACCAGCAGGAGGCCCCTTACTCGACAAACAACCGCGTCTCGTCGGGCTCCGGCAGCCGTTCTTTGCAACCACCCCTACTCGACGGCTGACCAAGGAAGACCAGATGGCGGCCATCGATCTGGCCATGGCGAGCAAGGCGGACCAGGGCAAGCTGCGTGTGCTCGTTGCTGACGACAACTCGACTAACATCGAGGTCGTCAGCCGGCTCCTCCAGCTGGAAGACGTCTATGATGTGACCATCGCCAAGGACGGCCAGGAAGCGTACGACCTGGTCAAAGACAACATGGAGAAGAACAAGCATTTCGACGTCATCTTCATGGACATCCAGATGCCTAACCTTGACGGCCTACAGTCCACCCGCCTAATCCGCAAAATGGGCTACTCAGCGCCGATCGTTGCCCTTACGGCATTCTCGGAAGAGAGCAATGTCAAGGAGTGCATGGAGTCGGGCATGAATGAGTTCTTGAGTAAACCCATTCGTCGTCCGGCGCTAAAACAGGTGCTCGCCAAGTTTGCGACAATTCCCGAGGAGCCCGAGACGGCCAAGACTACGCCAGAAAAAACTCCCGTGGGGACACCGGAGACGGAGGTGAAAAATCCTCTAGCGGCGAACGGTGTGTCAAAGGCAAATGGGAACGGGATTCATAACGGTAACGGTGCGGCAACTGCGCTTGGAACGCTACCTGGTGCCCCGTTGCCCAAGACTTGAGTGTTAGATTCTAGGGCTGCCCACCAGGAGTCCCGCGGAAGCTACCCAAGCCAGCGCCTAGCCCATGCGGTGATTTCGAGATGAGACTTGACCTTTTCTCTTTCTGCTTTTACTCTTCTTCTTCTTCTTGATGTATCTCATTGCTTTCTACCACGTATTCTGTCGTCATAATTGGGCTGTACGGTCGGCAAGGCGTTGTTGCGGGAACAATAAAACAACGGGTAAGCGAGGAAGGCTTCTTTCCCTCTTCCTCTGCCGGCGGGGTTGTTTTTTTCTTTCTGAGTGGGAAAATTCCCCTTTTGAGGGAGGCCATCTTGGGACGGGTAATGATTTAAAGGCGAAGGAATTAGGGCGTTTGGGTTGGGTTTGGGCCAGGCTTGTTTGGTCTCCTAGAATCATGGAGGATACATCGTTTTCATACATCTGGTTTGCCATGAGAGTTAGAAACAGGGAAGCATCAAGGGGGCACAAGTAGCAAGGGCGGGAGCATAATATTATTTATTACCCTCAAGACGAGTCACAGGTGGCCGCCCAAGGTCGGGTGCAAGACCTAATAACCCGCGACAACTACATAGCACTTGTACTACCACGCACGGTGTTCATACGAGGGATGTAATTTGGGCCGTGAGTTGGGGGGATATCAAGTTTCCGGTCCCAGCTTACTTCCCGCAGCCATATCCCGGGCTCCCCGCATTACCTCCGGTCCGGCACGCGGGAGTGGGGAGGTGGGTTCTGCCGAAGGGCCGAACAGGTTCTCTGCGATGACAAGTTTGAGAAAACATCAACTTTGACTCACTTGTAAATCTTGACTCACTTTCTTCCAGATCGTACTTTATTAACAAACCCTCCGGCATCAATACCCTTCTGAAACCCAGCAAGTGCAGAAACATAATTAATTGGTAAGAGATCATTGTCTTCCCCGCCCTCTGTCAATAATTACAGCCTAGACATAACTACTCACTCACACTTTCTTTCCACAAGCAAAACCAGCATCACTACCATTGCTATCATCACCACCATCACCAACTGCACCTCGAAATAAATCCCCGGCACCCCCAAACCCATCCATCACCATGCGCCTCCCCTACACCCCCAACCCCCCACAGCCCACCACCCCAGAAGAAGAAGCCATCGTCGCCCGCATCGCCGCGCGCCGCGCCCCTCGTCCCCTCCAACCCCTCGACCTAACCCTCCTACACTCGCCCCCCGTCGCAGACGGCTGGAACTCCTTCCTGGGCGCCATCCGCACCAAGACCGACTCTGTCCCTGCCGATCTGCGCGAGCTGGCGATTTCGCGCGTGGCTGTGGTCAATGGTGCGTGGTATGAGTGGGCGCATCATGCGCCGTTGGCGGTGGAGGCTGGAGTCGGGGAGGATGGGATGGGGGTGGTGAAGCGGGAGGGGGAGTTGGTTTTGGGGCTGAAGGAAGGAGTAGAGGGGTTGAACGAGAAGCAATGGGCTGTGGTGTGCTATGCGGATGAAATGACGAGAAATGTCAAGGTGAGGGATGAGACGTTTGCGCGGATGAGGGAGCTGTTTGGTGAGCGGGAGATTGTGGAGATTACGGCAACGGTGAGTGTGTCTTTTTTCTTCTTCCTTCCTTCCCATTCTCTTTCTCTCTCTATGGTAAAATTTGCCGTGATAAACTGGGTGACTGATGCTGGATATACTAGGTCGCTGCGTACAATTGCGTGAGCCGGTTCCTGGTGGCTCTGGATGGTGAGTTTCCTACCCCGACTCTCTCTGCCCAAAGGGGTGAACCGGAACTGACATGTATACCCGGGAGCAGTTGGTGAGAAGAATGCGCTGGGACCAGACGCGGCGCATTAAACCATCAACACAGGTTAAAATATATTGCTCATTCGCAACGTATGGTTCATCCTCACTTTCTGGAGCAATACAGGGCATCAAACACCGTGGTTTATCCTTAAATCGTCTCATGATGGGGCTAACGCCCCCAGCGGCAACAGCGTCATTCATCTAGACGGCACCATTCCCGGGGCTAAAATATAATGCAGTTGACTATTATTATTAAACAAGTAAGCAGTGTCATGAAAATGCCTAAACACGCCGTATGCGACCACGGTGAATGGAACAGGGGGTATCTGTGAAGTAACAAGAAGCGGTACAAGACTTGCGCCCATTACATGACCGACCTTGCCGCCCGCCTCTAGTTTGGCACATAGGAAAGGTAAGAGAATAAAAGAGAACAGCCTGTCATGCAGTCATAATTGCCTCGCCAGTGACATATCGGGGAGGCGCTGAGGTGTCGTCGCTTCGTGAACAGTCGTTGTCTCATCCAAGTGTGTCTTCGTCAATATTATGTGTGTCGTCAGGAGTCCGAGTGGTCTGCGGCGGTTTTAGGGAGATCGCGCCATGGCTAATTCGATGCTCGCATGCCTCTCCCGTAACAGGGGGCTCCTTTGTAGCTCCATCACCACACCAGCCCACCCCTTGCGCGGCCCGCTCTCGGTATTGTCTGGAGGGGTTGCCCCTATCGGCGGTACCGTGATGCGCCGCAACGGCGGCTTTGACTTGATAGCATCGGCGAGTGATTTTGGCAGCCCACCGCTAGGGTTACCACTTCCGCCGAAGCGTGGTGGTGTCAATGGAAAATCAACCGGCTTCTCTGGATCCCTTGGTGCGGTGCTGGCCCTGTCCTTTTTCGCAGCCGACTCAGTCGCCGTAGCGGCAATGATGCTCATGTGAATGACGAGAAATCGCATCCGCAGTAAGTCAAGCCGGCGCACCTTCTCCTCAAGCCGGACGCGGTAGCTGGCCCACCATAGGCGCGCGCCGTTGTGTAAGCGAGGGTCGTCTTCACCGACAACCAAGGCATTGAGGTCCTCGCGCAGCGCATCGCCAGTCCGCTGAATATCGCGCAAGAGGCGCCCTAGGCGGAGCTTGTCGTCGAGTCGCTGGACTTTGGCGATATCGCGGTCATAGGACTCGTTCTCGGCAATGGAGCTGTCGACAGCGTCAAGGAAAACAGAGACCTCGCTGGGGGCGTCGAGGTAGGCTTTGGCGTAGCGGCTGAGGATCTGAGCGAGCACAGCAAGTGACAGTAACAGCGCGGTGAGCGAGAGGACAAGGATCCACTGCCATGAACTAGAAGAGGACACCGACGACGAGTCGGTCATGGTTCGAGGAATGCGCTGTAAGGTGTGTTGCTGCTGCTGATGAGGAGGCGCATAATATCAGAGGACAGAGTCAATGGCAGTGACGGACGGGCAGTTCGGCGGGCAGTCGACAAGGATAGATGGCCATATCGTTTGAGGGGTTCGATTTTGTGTGCCAGGAACGGAGAGCGGGCTGGGCCGATGCCCCTAATTTCTGCAAGCGCGCGGCGCACGGAATCGATGATGGAAGCCCTGGACCCCTGCTTAATCGCCCGCAACCTCTGAGTGATCCTGTCGGTCGAATTGACTGGCACACCAGCTGGTCAGACAGCTGCTTCGACGTCCGTTTTTTGGTGAGTCAGCATTCTTCCACTGGAGAATAGAACGAAATAGGGAATAGGGGTAGCAGATATTATTCCGGCTCTTCCGGATCATCTATCTAGTTGTTCGAGAGTAAAACTTTTCCACTGCCGTCGACGAAGGATGGCGGGGTAATAGAGTGTGTGAGGATGCGGGGCAGCGTTTTGTTGAGATGGAACTAGAGCGAAAAACCACGCGACCTGGAATGGGCTGGGAGTGGAACAGAGATACAAACAATCTGGGGATAGAATACCCTTTTATTGAGCCTCCGTGGCGCGAGCCGCATGACATATGCGCGAGTCGCGGAATTCTAAGGCGATCTGAGCCGTAGTTGCCGCGCATCCCGCGCTGGTGCGTCTCCAGAGGGGCACGAGGGGTACTTAGAGGTATCCTGCAAGGGGGCATCCCACTTGCAGTGACAACCGATCCTGCGGGGCTCCAGCAACCCAAACAAAACACAACCTGAACACGCAATAACAGAAATCCAACTGAAGATCATTGAACATCAATCACCGCTACGACACCACTGCCGACCTCCCGAGCCCTCAAATACACCCGAAGCCCTGCTACCCATTGACCCCAACCTAGCTATTCGGACGAACTCCTCCTTCGTGGCCAATCCGACCTACCTGAAGTCAGGATGGCAGCCGACATACAACAACAATCAGCACCACCACAGTCAGAGGACCAACCCTTTCCTCTCCCCAAAGTCCTCACCCACTGGTCTTCCGCCCCCGCCACCCTCATTACCCAAGGCGCCGAAGGGCGCCTCTACAAAACCACCCACCTCCTTCCTTCGCGGCCCTGCGCGCTCAAGTATCGCCCACCTAAACCTTACCGACACCCCATTCTCGATGCGCGCCTCACCAAAGCTCGGCTAGCATCCGAAGCTAAGGTGCTTGAGCGGTGCCGTCGCGAGGGAGTCCCGGTCCCTGCGGTCTATGCGATAGATGCGGCAGCAGGGTGGATGATGATAGAGTGGATTGAGGGCATTCCAGTACGGGTTGGGATCAATACTTGGTTGGGGGAACGGGTAGACACCGAGGAGAATGAAGAAGGGGAACAACCGGCCGAACGAGGAGATAATGACAATGCGGCAGCGCCGCTGGTGGACCTGATGAAACGGATAGGAGCCACCATTGGGGCGTTACACAAGACTGGCATTGTCCACGGGGATTTGACCACAAGCAACATGATGCTTAAGCCTGCCTCGCCGGTGGAGGAGATACAACCCAACGGACACCCCGAGACGGAGAACAAAGCAAAAGCTCTCCAAGGAGACGTCATCCTCATCGACTTTGGCCTGGCCACGCAGAGCCAGTCAGACGAAGACCGCGCCGTCGATTTGTACGTTCTAGAACGTGCCTTCGCAAGCACTCACCCGCGCGCGGAGAAGCTCTTCGATGCTGTGCTGCAGGCGTACAAGGAGACTTTTACAAAGGCCAGCTCAGTGCTGGTTAGGCTAGAAGATGTTAGGATGCGCGGACGCAAAAGGAGTATGCTGGGCTAGACGAGGGTGGCTATATATGGGACCGGAAGATATCTATGTCTCCCGAAGAGAAAAGCACATAACCAAACTGTATTGGACGTATTCGCTGTGTATCATTTCCGAGGATGCTAGATGCAAATGTCCTAACAAAAACAGTCCGCCATCAAAATGCGCACTCGTGCAAGCCAACTAAACCAAAAAAAAACCAACAGCAGAAAGCAGCCCTTATCCGTTGAACTCCCAGACCAACAACAAACCCCACACACCCTCCCATGCTGATACAATGACCGGCCCGCTGTTGGCAGCAACAATTCTTATTCGTTTTCCAACTGGGCCCCTGCAAAATACCCCTTATTCTCAATAACACCTCGGTCCCGGACAACGGCCGTATACTTGATCACCCACTGCGGCGCAAGATCCCCCCGAAGCCCGGCCTCGTTCGTCTCATCGGGTCCGGCCAGCAGTCCCGCCCCGCCCGGCCCTTGACCAAGCAGCTCCCTCAGTGTCCCCTTGGGCAGGATATCGGTGCAGTCACTATGCACCAGCAACTCGATACCTTGCTCGCTCGCCAGCTTGGCTAACGGTGGTGGCACATTACAGCAGTTCTTGATATTGATCTGGTTCACCGCGGGCCGCACCTGGACCTGTTCCAAGAAATGCGCCAGCTTCTCGCTTCCATACTCCGCCAACCCGAGCCGCTTCGCCAGCCCGGCACGATGCAGTGCCTCGACCGCCGGCCACGTCCCCAACTCGTCACTGTCATTGCCCTGCGCCGCATTCTTGCGGTCGGCTTCCCACTCGCAGTCGCCTTCAAACGACATGCCTGGGAACGAGACAATAAGGAGATCGACAGACGGCGCATCGAGCGACCGGAGGACAAGTGAGAGGGCTTCTTGGGCGTGCTGAGCTCGTTGAGCCACGGGCGTGTTGGAAAGGAAGAAAAGCTTGACGGTGATGTCGTACTGCGAGGGTTCTTCTTGTAGGCGGGCGTCATGGTGGTGGTTGCTGAGCGTGGGTACGTACAGGACGCCGTCTTGTTCGGATGTCCAGAGGGAAACAGGGACACGCCCGCCAGCGTGAGTGGCGCTAACTAAGGTTTCGGCGCTGCCATATGCGCTGTCGTTCGCGCCCCCATTTACCTTGCCGTTCACGCTCAGCGTCCCATTGCCGTTGTGCGCATGTTCGGCGGCGTGTTCCTGCGCAGCGAGAAAGTTGCTGCGCAGCGAGTTGGTGAGTTCGAGGTTGGAGCGGGATGCACCAGGCTTGCGGATGATCGAGGGGCCGCCGGAGACAATGTTCCTACGTGTTGCTAAGGCGTCAGCTTCTGGTTCACATATAGCAAGTAGATTGGCCACGACTCAGACAGCGACTAAGGGGCGTAATAGATCGTCGAAGGCATGCGCGCGGGGGGAGAGGGGATTACAACGCAAAGGTTGTTGCACCCACCCAGTTGAGAGGATTAACTTAGTCATTGCTGCAAGACCTAATGATGTAAAGACGTGTTTACCGCTCAATAATACGCTGACTGGCTAATGATCCCGTTGGAGGTGAGGAAAAGGAGGGAAATAATTTTTCTCAGAATGGCCGACGGACGGTCGCTCGTCCAGGTCTGGTGGGGTTCGAGATTCACCCTGCGGGATGCTCACGATTATCAATGATTCATGGGCCCCACCTTGTCGAGGGATGGGTTGTGGAAGCTTCGGAAGCCAGCGCCGGGCGGCCAGAAACGGCCAATGACCTCGTGGGAAAAGAGAACGGGGATCGGAAGTATTAATTAATGCAACAGGTTCAGTCAGTGTACACCTTGGAGTAGAATGGGGGAGGTCGGCCTAAGAATGGCGAACGAAACCACAATCTTCTAAATGGCTCAACGGCTCGCCGAGCCTCGTGGTCGGACTTTTCTTCCCCAAGCGCGCGAGCTGCGTGATGACCAACCGAGGTGATTTGATATCAATTCAACGTTCCATCCGAGTGCGTGTTGGGCGTGGGGAGACCTCTCCAGGACGCAGCAGTACGCAGTCACGCAGTCTCGCAGTCAACACCGCAGTCAGGGACCCCCGATGTCGCCCCCGCAAAAAAGGCACCCCTCGAGTACAGGCCCCACTACTTAGGTGATACCTCCCGCTCTGGGGTTATTTTTGGCCCGTGCGCTCTTCATTCCCAAATCTCGTGGCCAACCCTTGGAACTGGAGCTGCAAAGTGGTAATCTTCAAATTCCATCGCTTCGCAGCTGCCTTGACCGACCACTTCTCTTGCTGCCAGCGGAGCGGATTTCAGTTACTTCATCATGGCCATCAAGTATGCTTGCCATTGCGCTCACCCCTAGGTATCCTTTCATTCAGCTAATGGAAACATCGGTAGCTACTTAATTCTCCTTTCCCGGCAAGGCAAAGTGGTGAGTCCCCAATGCCCCAACGTCAACACCCCTCATATGTCAGCGTCGAGCTACTCGGGCCAAACATGGAAATGCTAACGTCTCGGCCACAGCGCCTAGCCAAATGGTTCACAACCCTTTCGCCCAAGGATAAGGCCAAGATTGTGAAGGACGTGTCACAGCTCGTTCTAGCAAGGCGGACTCGGATGTGCAACTTCCTTGAATATAAAGGTGGGCGGGTGCTTCATCGAACACGTCATCAACTTCAAGCGCCCGGTACGTCGAATTAACATTCTGCCCGACAGACACCAAAATCGTGTACCGCCGCTACGCTTCTCTCTTCTTTATCGCGGGCTGCTCCTCCGAGGATAACGAGCTGATCACCCTCGAGATCATCCACCGATACGTCGAACAAATGGACAAGTACTACGGCAACGTCTGCGAGCTGGATATTATCTTTTCATTCACCAAGGCCTATTACATTCTCGATGAGCTTTTGTTGGCAGGTGAGCTGCAAGAGAGCAGCAAGAAGAATGTCCTGAGGTGTATATCCCAGCAGGACGCATTAGAAGACATGGAGGTCAGTACAGTGGTCCCCTTACTCCCCAGTTTGCTTTACCTGTCTGCAGATATGACGTTCCCTCGTTGTTCGATGGCATTTGGCGCTGACGTGCCTTTCATTCTACCATCAGGTCGAGGATGAAGTCACGAAGATCATGTAAAGGAACTAGCATCGCTGGGCCTTTTCTCGATCCCCTATTACTCCCACACCGACGACGAACTCTCAACCCTGAAAGATACGATGGACGATGGCATTGGCCGGTGTCCTTGCGCAGATACTAATATTGACACGCACATGGCAATAGGAGATTGAACGGACCGAAAGGGCGCTCAAAGAAGGAGGTTTTTTGTGACCTTGCCAACGGCAAATAATCGCACGATGTCGCGCCTTAGTCAGTAAGGTTGAAGAGCACGGGCGATACCGCAACACTTCAGGGTTGCGTGACGTGGCGTTATAGGCGTGCATTGGGGGCGTTATGGAGTTAAGTCGGGATCACAAGATGTCGTTGCCACCTGAAGCTGGGTTCGCTGGCGATTGATAGCAAGGGTGACGTTGGACTATCTACATTCACCCATCAGGAGGGAGCAAACTCCCACCGCAGCATTCTGAGAATCTAGACATGGGAACGTAGTAGATAAGAAATCACTGGCGCATGGCCAAGGAAGGCCGGACGCAGCATTGTAACACCTCACCTTGACCTTCATGGGGATGGCAGCCAGAATGCGCCCGGAAGAACTGCAACAGAATCAATGCTCCGACTTACAAACCCCCCACACTACCAACGCCACACAGGTAGCTGCAGCAAAAGCAGCCAACCTGTTTGTACGACGGCGCGTCGCCATGTGGGCGGGCAACGAATTGGGACGGCATACGAATAAATCCCACCCAGCTTCCAAGCAGGAATCGGCCCTGAGCGACGGACGGCCTTCAGGGAACGGTCCCGTGGCCTTTCCGGGCATTTTCATTCGTTTCCCGCAAGACAGCCGGGAGCGGGCGCGGCGGAGCGCTCGGGGAAAGGGGGCCGTAGCGGGCGCGGCGGAGCGCTCGGGGAAAGGGGGCCGTAGCGGGCGAAGAATGCCGATCGATCACCCCCGTGCGCTCCCGAAACCGGGATTAGGCGATCAGTGAGGCCGGGCCTCACAGGGCACCTCGCGGTCCAAGCATGCTCCCGCACAGCAGCGCACAGCAGCAGCGCCCACAACAACTCCCGAACCTAACTGCAGTGGACAGTGGACAGCACTTCCAGGTTGAACCAAGCAGCAGGAAAGCATCAACTCCCTTTCCATTGCCGCCAGCTTGACCCGTCAAGACAGAACTGCCAACCACCACAGCCAATCCAGCGCATTCAATTTGCTGCTGTGTCGCATCCACCTATCCCGCTTGCGCGTGAATCCATCGACTGGCTCAGAGGCTCCCCCGGCCCGCAGTGGTTGCGTCTCGGCTCTCACACCCCACGCATCCTCCATCATCCCGGGCTGCGCTGAGCACTTCAAAGCAGCACATTCCTTGGCCCAAGGACTCTTAGCCGTACTCCGTAACGCCTTCGGGTTTCGCTGAGTAGTTCCACTCAAGCACCACAATCAGGGTCGCGCTTCCCCGCCGTTTCCGGTTTCCATTCCCAACCTTGAACCAGCCCGAAACCACCATCGCGAAGCACCACGATCCAATTCCCCAACGCTAATTCTACTTCCAATTATTTACCCCGCCATACGCCGCGGTAGCCTTCTATCCCCCTTGACCCAGCTCCAGCGGTTCCAACCCGACCTTCCTTGCGCTCCACCACCGACGCATCCCACCCAACTCCCTACGTCACCGCCGCTCCTACCTTGGACTTGCGATAACCGAAACTCCACAACTACGACCGTAACCGTAACCATAACCACAAGCACCACCCCCAGCACACTGTGTTCGAACCGCGCGGCAAGATGAAGGTATAAACCAGCGTCGAGTATTGTTTTTAGCACTACAAAAACGCAGCATACTTATATAATCCTACCCCTAGTACCTATCGCTCCCGTCGTTCGACGTGGTGACGAGCGCCCTCAACTTCGACACTCCCGACTGCCACGTCACCGGCAGCTGCGATCTCTACACCACCAAGGCCGCCGGGTCAGACAAGAAACTATACAAGAACATTCAGCAATCGCTCGAGTCACAACATGCCGCGCTCGTCAAGTTCGGCGCTTCGCTCTCTCCCCCACAGCGCGACTCCATGGCTGCGAGCCTCAACCTCAGCCGTTCGTCCCCCTTCGGTTCGCTCGAGGAAATCGCAAACCGCCGTACCTATGCCTACCTAATCGCCACCCTCAACGCCTCCCATCCGGACTACGACTTCTCCCACGTTCTGCGCCCAGCCGACTTCCAGCGCGAGCGCGTCCTACGCCGCGTCATGACCCACATCGACAGCACGCTCACAAGCATACGGCCCAACTCGACTCTCCTCGATGCCGCGGTGCCACACTCACACCACGGGTTCTCCCCGGCTCGACCCACCGACTTCTTCAACACGGGCATCTCGACCGCGCCCGCTTGGGGCCCGCAGATGTGGGCCGCTGTCGACAAGGAGATGCACCTCAAGGACTGCACCGTCTTCTCCTATCAACCCGCGGATGACCCGTTCGACGAGGAAGAAGGCGCCATCTGGGCCCTGCACTACTTTTTCTTTAACAAGGCCCTCAAGCGCGTATGTTATCTGTATGTCCGTGGCGTCCCCGTCATGAGCCACAGTCCGCGCGTAACGGCGCACACGGCTGCGGCGGCAGCCCGGCGCCGGAGAGAGCGGGGGCTGTGGGGAAGTGGAGTGGAGACATATCCTGGAGTGGACAACCCACAAGGTGGTGTTGAGGCTGGCGATGCGGACGATTATGACGACAACAACCACGAGATCATAGACGACGAAGACGACGACGGTGCCACCAAGCGCGCCAGGTTCTGGCTTGGCGATAAGTTTGCTGAGCGGGTCATGGCCAGCGATGACGACATGGATGATGGGCTAGTGTGGAATCGCGATGCTGATGGGGATGTGAACTATCAATACGATGAGGACGACGACGACGATGACGAGATGTTTCAGCAGGAGCTGGAGGAAGAAGAACGGTCAAGGCAACAGAGGAGGACGAGCAGTGGGACTAGCGCCGTAAGAGGTGTTAGCGAGGATATTGCTGCTCGGATGGAGATTGACGTTTGAAGTGTGCCGTTTTTGTACATTTCCTCTCCTCCCGCTTAATCGACCGCCCGCTTTGTTTTTTTTTTCTTCCTCTTGTTTTGCCCCTTTAATGAGGGAGCTATTTCCTCGCCATTTCTTCCTTCACAACACCCTACTACAATGTTTTAGTCTCTTTTCCTCTTGAGGATTTCCTTGATGCCCTACCGTGCCGTTCAATTTCTTCCCTTTTCACCCCTTTCCCCCCCTTTTTTCCCCACTTAGTCTGTCTTCTTTCCTCGTTATGAAATTGTCCACCCACCCACTGACTTAGGGTTGTTATCTCGATCTTAATACACATTGGGATGGGAATGGTTGGTCGGCCCACTCGGGGACAAGGGAACGGTTACGGAGCATTGGGTGGGTAGGGTACAAGTCCAGTGACGGTTCATCACCGGATTAGCGTGGCGGTTGGTTGGCACTTTGGGTTCTTTAAGCATGTCGTTCACTGTTTCTGTATTTTCCTCTTCGATTCAACTCTGGAAGGGAGTTTTCAATCCTCAGAAAGTGAGGAAGGGGGGAATAGCAATGTAAACAGAGTTTCTCAGAGCGTTGGTTTCTAGGCTTAGTAGGCGGACGGATGTGCATTACCTCTCGAATGAGTCGCGAAGCTTCTTTCATGACCGATTGAGTAGCTTCGGAAAGGGGCTGTGCAACTTCAAATTCAACTCGATTCCCAACTTCCGAGACAAACCATACAATGTACGTGTCGGAACGACTCATGAAGCGGATACGTAATGGCGTATGAGTCCTATATATTCTTGTAACCTGGTCCTTGAAACATAGGATCGCATCTAGGAGGATGACTACTCTCCACTCGTTCCGCACCAGGTACATACTTATTATGCCAGTGTCCTCATCCTAAACAGTTAGGTGTTGGCCGGACGCTGGGATATTCGACAACACGATATCGCGACATCGACAGAATCCCATACGTAGTAGACTAGGCACGTTTCCATATCACATTCACCGCATCGGCATTGTAGAGGGAGCTTTAATATGGGGTGAATGCAAAGCAAACGGTCAATACCAACCAGAAGGCAAGAAAAAAACAATAACTACTTGAAAATGGGAATGGGTTGACTGGCCGAGGGCATTACCCCCACCAAACCCTCTTGGTTGACAGCGTAATACCTGCTGTGCCGGTTCTCATACCCCCTTTAACACCGTCCCCCATCACCCGCCCCCTTCCCCTTATCCCAACAACCGCAAGTGTCAATAGGACAACGAGCTAGCCTCGATTGGCCGGCACTCTGGTTCCCCAACGTCATTCCACCGCCTCACGGTCCCTCATCCAAGCCTGCCTCATTGTACATGCCGAGAAATCATCGAATATAAGCAAGGGCTAGGACGGCATAGGCTAGTTTGCAGTCGTATGGAATTGGCGTCAGTGAAATGGCATGATTACACCATGATCCTGCTCATTCCCACCATCGGGGGCATTTGGTATAAAAACATGAAAACAAAAACCTCAAATCTTCCCACCCTCCGCCTCCTTGCCGAGCTAGCTTCTCATAGGGACGCGCTTTCCTTCCCACAACCACCTGTGATGTGATGCGATGCGAAAGGGCTGATAATACAATCACACCTCCCCATCCTTCTTCTCCCCGGCCTTTTCACTGCCAGCAGCAATGGTTTTAGACCCAGGCGGTTGTTGCTTCTCCGATGCATCCCCCTTCTCCTCAGACTCAGCGTTACCGTTACCCCCCTCTTCCCCATCATCGCCCAACTCCTCGATGCGCGATGGACCCTTAGAGACTTGGCTGATGAGATCCTTATCCTCCTCTTCCGAGTTATCAAACATCTCCGTGTCGTCCGAGTCTGTGAGCACCTCGGTGCCATCGCCCAAAAAGATGATGCGCCCCTTGTAAGCCCCCATCCCGAAGCTCCTACCCTGCTTCTGATCCTCGATGTCGTAGCCACCGTCGCTCTCGTCGAAGTTGTGGTGTACACCAGGTCCCCGGAACTCGGCTAGAAAGGGAAGGGAAGTAAAAAATGGAGGTCAGCAACTAGACTAACCAAGAGAAGTTTGTTTTCGTTGGGACCGCAATGTGTTTTCCCAAAGTACGAAAGCAAGCGGTGAAGGATACAAGAAGCGCGAGGCAAAAGGGTCGGGGAGAAATCGAAAGCAGAAAGAAGGAAAGGCAGGATATTTAGGGCTGGTGTAAAACACAAACAACGACGAGCGTGCTCTCAAGGGGATGACGGCGTATCCCTACCATATTCAGGAGGGGCGCAAGGGCCATCTCCATTGGCAACCCGCTTGGCTATCTCCTCGTACCACTCCTCCTGGGTCCGGCCTTTGAGGAAGCCGATAATGACCATCGTCATGTTATCGCAGCCCACGCCACCCGTTTCAGAATTGGATGCCAGGCAATTGTCCATCATATTCTCGCAGATCTTGTCTAGGGGTTGCTTCGCCGCAATACCACGTCTGACGAACTCAATGACGGCCTGCGAGGATTGGCAGTCCCAGATACCTGGAGGAGAGAGGTTAGTCGAAGCCGGAGTCAAGTGTCGCGGGAATTTGGGGATGCTATAGGCTAACCGTCGCAGGCAATAACGAGGAACTCATCATCATCTCCCATCTCGTGGACGACAACATCGGGGTAGGCAGTGACGATCTGTTGTTCGGGCGCTAGCTCGGCGCTCTTTTTGAACTCGAAATCTCCGATCGCTCTCGACAAGGCCAGGTTTCCGTTGACGCGACCAAAGTCGACGAAGCCGCCCGCAGCGGTGATACGTGCCTTCTCGCCTACAAGATTTTATTCTCATTAGCCTGGAATTGCTCGGACACTGTCAAAATACGTTGGCAACTCGCGTACCCTCATTTTGGGGCTTATGGTCGAAGGACAAGGGTTTCGCACGGCCCTTGACGCCGAGTACACTTCTCGAATCGCCGGCATTGGCCTGGAGAAGGATGCGATTAGCAAAGTGGGAGGGGAGAGGGGAAGGGGGGGGAGGGGGTGTTGTTAAGGCCCAGGAAAGGGGGGAAAAGAGTTGGCGCCCGGTGTATGAACAAAGGGGGAAGGGGGGAAAAGGACGAACAATGTAGATTTTGTCATCGGTAAGCAGACCGACACAAGCAGTGCAGCCAGAAACTTCGTCCTCGTACTTGGGGTCTATGGGTATCCAATATCCAAGTCAGCAATTATCCTCGAGGGTTGGTACCCATCTGATCAAGACCCAGGCATCGAGTGTGAAACCCCCTGCGCCAGGCTCCGGCCGGTCGGGTAGCGTTCGAGTCTCCCCCGATCTCCATATCTTGGCACGGTCGGAGAATATCATACCGTTCAAAATGGCACGGTCGGTCGCTAGGAAGCCATCTTTGAGAGCTTGCTCGTAGTTGCCGGCCTTGAAGGTGTCTTGCTTTGTGAGGATACGGTGGATGTTGTCGCCGGCGAATATCGCAACGTTGCTCCCGCCATGGCCGTCGAAAACACCGAAGAACGAGAGTTGTGAGGCATGTTCCTTAGCAGCACTGGGGTCGTCTTCGAGCAGGTTGAGCACAGCTGTATGTGCATCCTCCATGCTTATACGCCAGCCCTGCATGGCCGACAGGCCATAGAACATTCGCTTGTCTCCGCCATGAGCTGAAGCCTGAGGTCGAGACCCGCATGGTCAGCAAATTCGTCAAAGCCCTCCCAGCCCAGGCACATCGTGAGGACCGAAAAGGGCCAAAAAGTACCAAAGCGGCTCTAGAAAGTAGAAAGAGTCGCCCAAACCGACCCATCAACAGCAGTGCAAATAAACATTACACCCGATCGGGTTCCGATTTGGCGGAAATCATGGGTGGCATGCGAGCATTGCGCGAATGCAAGGAGGGGCAACCGGGGCAACGACCGCGCGCGCTCTCGAGAATGCCGAGCGACCAGCAGCGCAAGACACGCAGTCTCGGCGCTTCCTGTTAGAAATGCAGAGAAACCATAAGAGAAATAAATACCTTCTCGACAACGGGCTCAGAGAGTGTCTGGCCCATGGTGATGAGGTTGTCGAACTTGATTCAGCAGCAGCGCGGCTACTCGTGGTGGTGAATTCGGTTGTGGAGGGGTCGTGGTTGTGGTATGGGGAATTAGGCAGGAGAACCAAAGGTGGGCGACTGACTCGGTCGAAATTTTCCGCCGTGAACCTGGCTGTCCGCTGTGCTTTGCTTTGGTATGCTATGTTCGGCTTTGGGATGACGTTGGAAGAAAGGGATCAGATGGATTGGTCGGTGGTTGTTCTATCTGGAGTGCAAGGGAGGTTTGGTCGGGGTGTTGTTGTTGTGGGTTGCGGTGCAGCCCCGCCAAAGACACCTCTTTCCTTGTCTTCAGTTTTGTGCCTCGGGTTTCCGCGTTCGCAGTGGTGCAAGATCACTGAGCGGGATGGTTAGGTAGTTTGTCGCTCGTGCGCGGAGCAAATTTGGGCAAGGTGGTGGTGGAGCGGGGTTTCGCGGGAACGGGCGCAGCGGTGCCTACGACGGGAATTGCTCTTTTTGGCGTGGTACCCAGAGACGCGGGGGAGGATGGGCTGCCTGCGCAGCTGACAGAACAGCCTGACATGAAAGTACATAGTCAAGGAACACACACTCAAGGAACACACTCAGTTCAAAGAATCACGATACCTTTGTCGAAGACTACCGAATCACGGATGATTCCACATGCAAAGATAATAGACCATACTTTGGTTAGTTGCATATATACTCTTGCGTACCTGCAGTTGTGCCGGTCAATCAACATTTGTATCTTGGTTACTCTGTCTCAAGCTTCTGGCGAAGAGAGAGTAAGGTTTTTGCGTTGGAACCTGAGCTCTTGTCGCTGAACCGACCCAAATCTGAAGTCTTAACTAGACTAATAATTGCGAGTAGGTGTGGACAGAAGGAACTCGACCAACGCTGCAGTTGCCGGCGAATAGATATTGTGGTTCTCGCGCTGACCGCGTGGGGGGTAGGTATTCCTACAACCCAGGTAGCCCAGCATGCCGGGCACCACAAGATCTCTCAATTGTTGTGTTTTCTACCTCGTGCAGAGATGCAGGTGCCTTGGCCACCATGACCAAAATCTGGGCGGCAAAGTCTCAAAATGAGGTGAACCACTTTCACCCCGGCGGCCTCGAGAGGAGGCGCAACACCCGCTGAAGATAGACTAAAACAATTTCCCCCGTGTTCTCGCGTGATCGCTGAAAGCAGTGAACAGTCGCCCCCCGATTCGGCCTTTGCCGATGGTCTGGCCTCCAGCCCTCCCCACCTTGCCCAGTCATCCAGTCTCGCTCCTCTGAGTCCTCTCCAATTTGGGCCAGTTGCCAAAGACAGCGGACGGGAGAGAAATGTGGGGTGGCAGGGAGGCGTTCAAAATCAGATTGCTCCACCATGCCACTTGCCAACACAACACGCCCTTCTCATCAGCGGGTTTACGCAGGCCGCAGTATACCAACGCAATGCGGACACCTACAGTGATGATTGCTTGAGGCTTCTACCGCAAAGCCTAGTTAACAAACAGTTTGGTACCTTGTTTCCCGAATGATTGCCACGATGATTGCTTGGTTACCATGAGCCTCTATGGAAGAAGGAACATTTCTATTTTTGCAGGAGGGTGGAATGAATGCCTCAGCAAACCTACACAACTAGTAGGTATCTCCATCGAAGACCCGTCAGGTATCATGCGTTTTTGTGGGGTACAACATATTCTCGTGAATTCTTTCTGGGCAATCAGAGTACTGAGAAAGCAGCAAGAATACTACCGAGACCTACACGTATATTCCCCGAATGTCAAGGAAATAATATGGAAGGATTGGGGTACTCCGCAAGTTGGCTAGAGTAACAATCTAAATAGCTTGATTCACTCGCCCGGTGGATGCCTATCGGAGCAGAGCTGGGAGTTCGCCGCAGTACATTTAGATGCTGATTTTTGCTAGTAACCGTGACATCTTTTCCTAGTATTTACCCTAACCCCGGCGCCCGCGGGAGAGTTCTGAGATAGGAAGGGAGAGGCGGCATCATAATTAATAGTAGACTTACAAAGCAGCAAGGAGCGTTGCGCGGGGCGCTGAGGTCCTAACAAAAAAGCTGGGGAGGTGGCGAAGAGAACTCTTCTACTACTGTTCGGGCCAGGCTGAGTCAAAAGTTTATCCGCCATGTCGCCAGGGTTACTTGTACTCCAAGACGGAGATCCTCCCAACTAGGTGTTTCTGCCCTCTGTTATACCCGGTAATGGCACAGGAGATGGGAAGATAACGGCGAGGACCACGATATCGGGGGTGGGATCATTGCAAGCGCCTTAACTCCGGTGGCGGTTACCACATCGGGCACCTCGGACGAAAAGTGGCCTGTTGTCGCAGGCTCAACCCAATTTCGCAGCACAAAAAAAACTCCCTCAGTCACTACCACAACACCTTTTATCACAATTACCCAACGAGAACATATCATCCCTCTCGAAAAGTGAAAATGCTGCTAACGAAGGAACGATCCCCGTCACCGGACTTCTCCCCGCTCGCCTTTTGCGAAGACCTCGCGCCGTTGCCGGAGTACAAGGCCGCGGGCACGATACAGGTCGATTTCGCGGGCCTGCTGAGCGAGCCCTTGCAGCTTCATGAAGATCTCGCCTCGGGATGTGGCGGGCAATTGTGGCCGGCGGGGATGGTGCTAGCGAAACATATGCTGCGGTACCAACGGGAAAGTTTGAAGAGCGCGAGGATGTGAGTTGATATGTATTTTTTTTCCTTCTGTGACACGATGATCGTTGGAGGACCCCTCCTTGGTGGTGCGGGGCATATGTCCATCAGGCTGGTTTTTGTCAAATTGATGTGCTGATCAAAAACTCACCTTCACGTGCTTGGCAGACTCGAGCTTGGCGCTGGCGGCGGGGTTGTCGGGCTCTCAGTAGCGAGAGGCTGCACCGATCTTGAGCACCCGTTGATTCTGAGCGACATGGTGGAGATGGAGGCGTTGATGCAACACAACATCTCATTAAACAAGCTCGATGAGAAAGCCAAGGCGAGGGTGCTGAATTGGTAAGTGGTATTACTCGCTGGTTCCCCTCTTTTTCTTTTTTTCTTCTCTTTTTTTTGCCCCTTCTCAGGATTTTTCTTCGTTGAATCCACCCACCCTTCATCTTCATGCCATGTCGAATCAACTGTGACTGCCGTATGTGCCAGTCCAGAGCTGTTGTGGTGCTGTTCTAATCAAGGTCCATGATGCAGGGGCGAGCCACTCCCACAGGAAATTGTCGATTTCAAGCCTGATGTGATCTTAGCAGCCGACTGCGTCTACTTTGAACCCTCGTTTCCACTTCTGATGAAGACACTGCACGATCTCTTCGCCCTAACACCAACTGCCACTGTCTTCTTCTGCTACAAGAAAAGGCGGAAGGCGGACAACAAATTCTTCACGGCTGCGCGGAGAGCATTTACAGTGACTGAAATCAAGGACGAAGATTCGCCTGTGTTTAGCAAGAACGGTATATTCCTTTGCACTTTTACCCACCAAAAATGAAAAAAATTCACCTTGAAATACCCACACCAGCTTTCCATGTTCCCTCCCCCACTGAAGATATCTTGCCTCGAGCTTGCCCCCGGACCGGACTCTGCGCGTAATATCCTATCCGTGGGTGGCGAGCGTACGTGGCTTGAAACTTGGCACGCTATCCCCCCCACGGGCAGACTTCGAGAGTGATAGGTTGACTTTCCTCTCGAGCTATATATCGGGCTCGGCGCCGATGGGGTTTTGGTGGATCGCGAAGAAGGGGGGGACAGGACCTATCCAACTATCCACATCCAGCCCTACGCCGCGATCCCGGCTCCATACTATGTACATGTAGGCGAAAGTCCTTGCCAGACGGAAAAAGTCCGATGAGCAAGGTCAAGTTGGTTCGTCCATGTGTTAGTCGGGCCTACTCATTGAGGGAAAACGGGAAAAAGCGGATGCTTGGAATATTCACCGTCATATATTCGTACTTCGTACTTCTTAGTAAAGCCTTTTACACAGTCCAGACGGCCGTGCCTTGTACTTCCGTTGTCCCTTGTGCCCCGAGCTGGTGCCTCGACCCGGATGAGCCATGCCGTGCCGTGCCAACAATGAAAGCTTCGGACGAAAGGTATTGCTTTTCTACTATTTCCGTCCTTGGGGAAGTTGACTTGGCTGAGAATCGGACAAGTTCAACTAGACTCGACCACCACTACTACGTTGATCTTGCTAGTGTGGCTAATTCACAATTAACTATAGTTCGTTGTCACAAATGCCCGAAGTGCGTGTTGTTGGGTCTTGTGTGATGAGATGGAAACGAGAATTTGGATGTGGAAAGTTCAGTCAACCACTCCCGTCGCCAAGGCGGCTGCGGAGCACCTTGGCCCAGTGGGCCGCATCGACGTGTTCTGGCTGAGCCACCTGGGCCTCCATTGGCTGCGCTGGTTTCCGTTTCCGACGAAGGGTTCGGTTTTGTGCCTGGAATGACAGGGATAAAGGGAGAAACACTGGGGCCAAAGTGTTATTTTTTCCCGGCCCCCGTCGTGCCTTGCAGGTGTGCGTGGTGTGCTGCAAGGGACGGCTCGGCTGGCGCCATTTTTTTTGACAAAACCTGAATGCGCCGTGTCCAGACTTTCCAGGTTGGGGTCCACAGACCACCTCCACCTCATCCAATACCTATGTCGCTTCAGGTCGCCAACGTTACTCAGGCACGTTCCGCACAGTTTCCCACTAACACTGGCGTGAGCAATGGTACGAGCCGCCCCTGCCAAGCCTCGTGTGTCCGCTAACATGCGAGACATGCGGAGACCTCATAAAAGGTCATAAAAGGGCGCGGAACGAGGCAGTGGTAAAGTAGTTAATCTTGCTGGGCTTGGCCTCGGTGAGGTCCGATGGCTTGTGTCGTGTACGTGTACCTCGGGTGGACCCTGTGCTAGGACGAGACCGACATGGAATGCGACGGGGCCGACGAACGACAAAAGCTGGGGGGCCGGGCCCTGGGGCCCACGAGTTCCCTTGCTCCAGAGAATTGGGAAAGCAAAGCCTAACGGCCCAACTCCCGTCCGACCTCCACTCCCTGACCTGAACCCTTGGCGCCCCTGGAAGGGGAGAGCCTTCTTAAGATTGCCCTGCCCTGCAGACTTCGTTTCCACCGGTCTCTTCTTGTTTCACCCCAACCCAAGCCGGCATTCATTCTTTTCTTGTCCCAACAGCTCAGCGAGCCTCACACTCTTTCGATGGGACGCCGTGAATACAGTTATACCAAGTACACATGATAGTGTCATAACTATCGCCGCTGTCGAAGCAACAACCCTCATTCTCGCTTGCTATTACCTCATCATCTTGACTCAAACTGAACATTCTTCGGCCGGGCTGAACAACTACCCATCATCATCATGAAATCAACTGTTTTCGTCGCCAGTCTCCTGGCCTCGCTTGCTGCTGCGCAGCCTCATGGCCACGGCCACGGCCACCACCACCGCAAGAGGGGCCACAACCATCAACATGCCGAACGCGGCGTCATCGTGGTCTGGGAGACTACCACCGTCGTCGAGACCGTGACCGCCCTCGTCGATGGAACCACCACCGAGATTATCAAGCCCACCAAGAAGTCACTTGCTTCCACCACCTCAGCCGCGGCCGCGTCTCCGGATCCCAGCCCTGGCGTCTTTGTCCCCCATCCCGACAAGAGTCCCAAGAAGCCCAAGAGCTCGGCCTCGTCGACATCCGTGGCCCCCCCTCCGCCGCCTCCTGTGGTCCAGGCTCCCCCCCCGCCTCCTCCGCCTCCGCCTACCTTGGACCCGATTCCGATCCCGGTGCCTACGAGCGTTATCGTGATTCCGTCTCCCAGCCCCCCTCCTCCGCCCCCACCTCCCCCTCCGCCGCCGCCGCCGGCCGAGACACAGCCAAGCGACGGTGGCAGCGGGGGTGGCGGCCCCAGCGGCGCGTCTTACACCGGTGACCTGACCTACTTTGCACTGGGCTTGGGCTCGTGCGGCCTCGACGACAGCAACATGGACTTGGTACACAACGTTGTAGCCGTGTCCGCGCAGCTGATGGGCGCGCAATCCAACGGCAACCCCATGTGTGGCAAGACTATCACCATCAAGGCCAATGGAAAGACAACTACCGCCGTTGTGCACGACAAATGCCCAGAATGCGCGCCGGGTGATATTGACGGTTCCGAGAAGCTGTTCAACGAGATCTTTGGGTCGCTCACAGTCGGCCGGGGGACGATCGAGTGGTGGTTCAACGATTAAAGTCCCCAATGACGATGAGATCTGTATTAAATTGCCGATCTCGATACTATTGGTTGGAGACACTGATCCTTCTCGGGCCGCGGGCCATTACGAAGCGATGCCCATTTTTGGAAACTTCCACAGTTTTGCTCTTTCCCTTCTAAATTTCAACCCCGTTGGTGAGCACATCCAACGGGGAATTATCCTTCCCCCCCTTTTTTCTCCTCTTTTTCTTTTTCTTATCCGTTGGGTAAAGGGGCTTTGAGTTTGGTTTTGGACGGCACAGAAACCCCCAGCACATTTTCAGCACAGGGCGCTTCTTCTGGCTTGGAGCAATTGGAGCAAGAAACAGGAACCAAAATGGAACGGATGCCACATATAGATAGATGGACGCCCAGCTCGGATAGACTTGGACATTTTGACTTCTTGCATGTACGTATTTTTTTGGGGTAAAGGAGGCAACCCGGATTTGGGTTAGATTGACCAAATACCACACAATACCACACATGACGCCTGTGATTCCGTGTTTCAATCCCTCACGGATTTACTCCAACAATAACTGCATAGCATGCCTTTGGGCTTAATTGGATTTGTGCCCAGAGTTGCCCGCCCGTCCCGCGTCAGCTCCCTGAACTGGGTTCATCAACGACACCCGTCGAATCTCAACGCTCAGATATTGGGCCGTCGAGATGAAATGACACCCATTTGGAGCTAGCTAGGCACATCAGTGTTTCAAAATTACACCTCATCGATTCAAACTCAACAGCCCCTCAATATACCTCCTCGTGTCAACACCAATTCCCTGTGCCAGCCGAGTCGCTCCATCCGCCCAACCTCCAGATGCACCACCGACGCCGACCCCAACACCGCCCCCGCCAACCCCAGCATACGACGAGCCAACACCCCGTAAACCGCCCGGGCCGTGGTGGTCACTCGCCCGCCGGATGAGGAAGATTTCTTTCCCAGCCGCTGGAACCGGACCAGCGGCGCCCAAGCTCCCATCCCCAGATGCATCTCCATCCCTATCCCAATCTTCGTTTCCATCCCCATCTACGGTTGACCCCCGGCGTTTCTCCCCCCCGACTCGGCTCCACACAACCCACCATCCGCGGCTCGTCTTACACGTCAGCTCCACCATCCCAGTCGTGTCATCGCCATCTGCGCCGTCGTCATGGTGTCGCGTCGTTGCGGCCATGCTCAAGATCTGGGCATGTGTGCTGAGTGCTTCGGCGCGCGTCCACGCTGCAGAGGCTGCTGCCGAGGGATGGGGCACTAACGGGGGAGGTGCGAGGATGCTACCCGGGTTGGTGGTATGAGGAGCGGGAATAAAGGGGTCGGGTATGTTGGGGATAGTGGAGTGGATCGTGAGGGTCTGAGGGTCGAAGACGAGGTCGTACAATTCACTTCCCCCGCTGCTGCTGCTACTACCACGCCGAGAAGGCTGCCGAGGGACACCCGTACCCGCATGGTTTGGCTTTTCCGGTCGGTAAGCAGTTGAGTGGAGGAGGGGTTTGTGCAGTGGTGTTAACTGTGTGCTGAGGATCTTGGCGAGGTCAACCCAGGGTGTGGACGTGGTCGTGTCAGGACCGAAGAGGAGTATGTAAATGAAGGGTCGGTGGAGGTATACGACTGGACGTAATTGGGCGACGGTGCTGGTAGTGGTACTGCTACCGTCAACCTCTAGCTCAACTGTGACCGTCCGTGGTTTTATGCGGTTGGTTTGCGTCGAGGGGTCCTCTTGTTCCTCCTTGCCCTTATCCTCACCCAGTCCTAACAGAAAGTAGCCCCCCGTGGGGTCAAGTGGGGGCTTAGGAGCCGCCGTCGTGTCCTCAGGACCGGTCAAGTTTCGTACTGCTTCATTTTCCGCGTCTGAGTCTGCGGGTGGATTGGATGTGCCAAGAGACCAGTACGTGCCGTACCCCAACTTGAGGTAGCTAAGCATCTTGTCCATCCCTCCACCGACCTCTTCCGTTTCTGCGGGCGCGTCTTGCGTAACGGCCGCGGCCGCGGTGTTTGGAATCGAACCTCGACGCTCCGTTTCAGGCGCCCCACTAGTTTCTGTTGGTGATGTCGATTTCGGTGTAGGTTTTGATGAGTCCTTCTTTGAATTCTCGGCCAGAGGTGCTTTCGCAATGCTGGTCTTTTTCCCATCACCTCTCCTTCTCCTTGCTCTCGACCCTGATCCCGCCGCGCCATCCAAAACGCCGAACGCGGTCTCTCCCCAGGCATATATATCCTCCATCCACCACGCCAACGTCCTAACAGATGACCTTGAGAGAGACCCGACACCGAGGAATACCATCCCATCTTCATCTCCCACTTCGCTGCCCAGCCCAACCCATCGCTCGTCCGGCCGGTTCTTCACCGTGGCACTTTTCCCATTTCCTTTCCCTTGGCCCCCCGTGTCTTCTCCTTCTGCATCCTCCCCAAACCTCCCCACCACTAGATCCACCAACCCCGGTAGCCCTACGCCCATTCCTACCGTCTCTCTACTCTCGACCAGCGCCTCCAAAACTTCCCGCTCGCCACTCCCCCGATCCTCCTCGCCCACACCCATGCCCAGCTCCCCACTGGCGGCCATCTCAATGCCCCCCCATACCGCGCACGCCGGGTTGCCATGCAGCAAAACAGACCACGTGAGCAGAAAGGCGTCCCAGTAGCCGGCGAGGAGGGACATGAAGTGAGCACGCGAGGGTGAGGCCGAGAGAAGAGTGGAGAGTGGGGAGTGGGGGGTACCGTGGGTGCTGTTCGTGGTCTCTGGAGCGGGTCGGTGGTGAAGAAGAAAGAGAGAGTGGGCGCGAATGAGGTCTTGCAGTAGGAGGGCGGGAGGTTTGAGTTCGCGAGAGGAGTACTCATAGGGTATGGGGGGCGTATCGCCCTTGGATGTCGGTGGTAGTGGTGAAGAGGGCGAAGAGGGGGTGGATTTGCTTGGCGGGTGAGGTAACCGGGTGAGGTCGATGGACTTTTACATACAAGCACGCAAGTCAGTCCCTTGGATCCGCGCCTAGCCTCGAGCGCACAGATAGACAAAGCAGAGTGATAGCGCATAAACTCACAGCGAGAATCCACCAGCCCGGTTCTAGCTCATGCAGTACCACGCGCGTTCGCTCGGTATCGATCGAGTCTACCGGCTTTCCGCCCGAGAAGCTCCTCCCAAACTCAGCCATGCCTTGAGCAAGTCCAACCTGCCGCAGCCGCTCATTGCGTTCCGCGTTAGACACATCGCCGGCTGCCCGCCCATCTTTTATCACACGGTGACGACGTCGTTTAGAGGCGGACAACGTGCTCGGCGATGCGTAGTACACCAGCTGGTCTTCGACTGTCTCGTCCGTCGTGCCTAGGCTGGGGTTGTAAATGGCGAGGAAACCAAGCTGGGCGGGTATGATCCCCGCCGACGGTGTGGAAGCCATGGCGTGTGTGATGGGGGTGCTCAAACCGATAGTGGTTGTCGTCAAGGATGGTGGCGATGATGATGGTGGTGGTGGTGATAAACCCTGGCTGCTTTAATTGGGTGAAGTCGGTTGAAGCAGCCGGGCCGCAGGCGGGAAGAGCGCGGAACCAAGCCCTGTAGGTGTTTCCTAAATCAGAGAATAGGCGACTTCGTTTTCTCTCTACCCTTCTGGCGCCATTACATCGTTTTGTTGCGCTGGGTTCAGGATCTCGGCTAAATCCAGTTCATTTTCGAACGGTGTGAAATTGGGCAGAACTTGGATGTTGAGAGTGCCGCAATACTCCGTACATTTGCTTAGGTGGTTGCCAACCGAGTCTAAGAAGCGACCCCACATTTCACCAACAACGGTGCGGTTGAGTAAAACAATAATAAACACAGCGGGTATATTGTTATTGATGTCTAGAGGGGGGATATAGATACAGCTAAAATACACACCAGCCACTCAAGTATGTACATATCATTACCCGTTAAATGGTGTTTTATCCTTCTTCGTGTTAATGCTCGGCTTCTCAGGCGGCATCTTAATAGTTAGAATTACAGCGTAATAATACATGCAATATTTGCACTTTCCGCTCCGAGCGTTCTCATAATGCCGAGGTATCAAGATGCCGACCATTTCAATAGACGTGCTGCAAATATGGGGTATCCTTAGAAAGGTGTCGTGGGTTGGTCACAATCGAATGTTCGTCACATCATCCTCTTCGTTTGTCATTCCTCTTATCTTTCCTCGATCCGAAGCGATCGGAACCCAGATCGCTCCCAGCTCCAGTCCAGTTTCTGCGCATTTTTTGGGTTGGCCCATCCCGGTAGCGCCCCTTGCACAATCGGCAGCGCAAGCGGCTTCATCCCCTCTCGTAACCCTTCTTTCCACACCCCCATCTCGCTCTCGCTCTTTTTCCCCAACTCCTCTTCCAACTCCTTTTCTTCCTTCTGCTCCTTCTCATCATCATCCTCCTCCTCGCCCTCCTCCTTTTCAGTCGCTTCGTCGTCGCCCTTGCCCGCCCAACCTTCTCCATCCGCCACAACCCCAAACTCTATCTGGTTTTCCATCCGTCTCCCCTTGGCCGCTTGAAAGAGGTTCCCGTCGCGCAAAAACGCACGCTGCAGGAACTCGCTCAGCGGGACGGCGGGGACAAAGCCCGCATCCCTATCTTTCATCATGGCGGTAGTGTAGAGACGAAAGGCTTTGCTTGCCGTACCGGCTGGGAGGGGGCGGGTTGTTATGGAAGGCACTGGGTCGTCACCGTGGTCGTCGGATGGCGTGGCCAGATGAGATGGGGGAGGGGGGACGGGGTCGAGGGGTCTCCGCGGTCGGGGTATGAAAACGAGCGGCTCGTCGTCGGCCGATAGCCCGGGTGTCCAATCCGGGACCTTGTAGTCACCCACGAACAGGTTGCTCACAAACTCTTGCCTGCTAAGTGGCAAATTGACCGGTTTCCTCCACAGCCCGTCGAGGCGGCCTGTCAGCCGACCAATCTCCCGGTGTGCGGCAATCATCTTGATAGCATGTTCGCGCATCCCGGAGTCCGTCATTCCAACGCGATTCGCGTACCGCCATACGGCGCCAAGGGTGTGCGGCTTCCGCGTCTTCCGCGCGAGCATGTACAAAAGGCGGAAAGTGATCTCGTTGGCCACCTTGTCGCGGCCATGCTCCTCAAACATGCGCACGAATTGAATGGCACGGCTCATCTGGCGGTGCTGTTTACAGTGGGCGATCGCCGTGTTGAGGGACACCACGGATGGATTGGTGCTCCGGCACGAGAACCAGTATTCTAGGAGCCGCGTCATGTCGTCGAACTTGCTGTACCGCCCAAATATGTCCAAATACCGGTTGCCGGCGAACGAGTTGAGCTGCCATCCCGGACCGTACAGCTCTCGAAGGCCGGCCAAGAAGGCGTCTGCGCCCTGGCCCTCCTGGATGGCGCGGTGCGCGTCGACGTCCGCCATAAAGGCTGCAACTTGCCGCACTGCCACAGGGTCGGCAAAAAAGCCCTTGGTGTCCATCTTCTTGACAGTGAAGCGCATGACCTCCTCCGACTCAATCAAGCGGAGAAACAGAAGCCATGTTTGCAAGTTTGGTTGGTGCTTGTGGACCACCATCTGGCTCAGCGTAGACTCAAAGGCCAATAGATTCTTGGTCGCAACCGCCGTCTCGAGAACCAGGTTGCACATGTCAGTGCTGGGTCGCAAATCCAGCTCTCTAGCTCGCTTCAACAGCGCCTGGGCCACGTGCGCATATGTCTCGCCACCGGGCGTAAGATACCGCAACGCGAGGTTGATGGCCGGCACAGACACCGCGGCCGCTGCGTCCGGATCGTGAAAGACGTCGTAAAGCAGCCGAGCCACTATGTCCTTGTGGTTTTCCCTGTGGCCACCCTTATTTCGGTACGCCTTCCGGGCCAGGTTGGGGTCCATCACCCCATCGACCAGAGCTGCAACATACGTGTCAAAAGTCTTGACCGTCCATACTTTTGGCCGGCGTATCCGATCGGCCCTCCTGGTAAGTTCGTAGATTCTGTGTGCTACCGTCAGTCGCTGGGGCAGAATCGTAGTGGTCTGCATCCTCGCGTCGCCGCCCGACCCGGCAGCGTCTAACTCGGAAAGATCCGACTGATCGATGACCGTGACGCCCTTAGCAATCTTTAGGATATCATCCACAGCAGCGAGCACGGGGGTGGACTGGCCACGGATCACCACGTAGGGGTCCACATCCGCTAGGTTATCGATCGGTCGCATAAGCTGCATCAAGCAGGCCCTCTCCGACCGGATCTTCCACAAACTGTGGCCCTCGCGCGACAGCAAGTCCCCGATCGAGTTCCGCGGGACCACCACCTTAAAGCGCTGGGTGGGTGCCTCGTGAATACCCGTGAACTTCATGAGCATGGCCAGAATGCTCTTCCAGTCGCCGCCACCCTCCTGTTGGCGGTGTTGCTGTAAACGAGCCTGCTGCACCAGGGCGCGCCGATGCTTCACCTGAGCCCATTCGTCTTCACGTGGGTGTGGGTACGACGCCACGGGCCGAACGACGAGGTGGTCATCTGGGCGATGCGGAAGAAGCGGAATCTTGCTAAGGCGGTCAATGAAGGAGACTGCAGCATCGCTTCTGGCTCTCATATCGGCCCATGTGGTGTTGGCCGTCGCCGCAGGTGGCGCCTGGCCAGATAGGTGTGCATCGTCGCGGTATTGTCCGGGCTCGAAGTTCCCGTTCGAGGACAAGGCTACCTGAGAAAAGGGAGCCCCGAGGCTACGGCCCCGAAAGGTCCAGGGCGCGCCGAGCCCGGTGAGCGTCGCTTGAGATCGTACTCGACTTCGACCGAGAGGAGAGAATGTTGTCCTCCACGGTAGTGCGGAACCAAGGGTCATTTCTGTCGCTCAGCGCATGTCGATGTTTTTTTTCTCTCCCCTCTCCTTTGCTTTCGTCTCGCTTGCCTCGCTCAATCCGTCGGCCAGGCGATTTCTGATCACACAAAACCGATGTTTTGCTGCGCAGTTGACAGCAGAACGAGCCCGTGGCGTTCATCAGTCGTCAAACTTCAAGATCACATGTGGTAGGAAGTTACCAAATTCGTGGTTCAACTTTTTCGTTATCCAATTTTTTTCCGGCAGGCTCTCAGAGAGTCAGGGTCCACCGCAGATCTGGACCCCTGTCACAGTGTTAATATGGATCACCCGACTAGTGGCATTCACGAATACGCCGAGAATTCGACCAACCTTCAATCTGCAACACAGACCGATCGATGTACATATGTACACTAGGTACTCAATAATCTGGGTCATGGTTCTCCGGCGGCATTAGACCGAAACATTGGGGTATATTACGTATCCATGGTCTCTGGCTTCATGGCTCCCCGTAACACCTACTTCAGACAATTATCCATCAGCACTCCGCTCAAAAAGTATACTGTCCCCATTCAAGTCCGTTCAAGCCGTCTTTTCCGTTCCACCATCTCTTTCTTCCGCCACATTTTTTGTGTACCCATTCGTAGCCCCACCATCCTGAGGTGGTACAGGAGGAGGCACCGACGGCCCCGAGTTATCTACACCTCTCCACGCCGGATCCCAACCCTGGCTCTCGTCCACAGCCCCCTTCGACTCGCCCTGTCGGGCTATCCCTTTGACGTCGCTCCAGTACTCTAGCCTCCGCACCTCTTCGTCGGCATGTTTTACCGCGGCAGCCAGGTTCTCCGCCTGCTTGTCTAGCTGTCCTAGGCCGAGGTCTTTGTCTTTTCCCTTCGCGGCGGCTCTGTTGTCGTGGGCAGCAGTCAGTTTGCTGAGAAGCACCCGTCTCGATGCCTGGAACACAAATAGAGCCATGATATCATGCATGATGTACTGCAGGCCCTCCAAATCATCTTGTGCATGGGCAAGGTAGCTGTCAACGGCCTCAATCCTCTCCCTATCTATACGAGAGGCACGCAGCACTTGGAGTAGGACGTCGGCATGTTCGATCACCGGCGGTTCCACGCCATCTATGTTGAGCGTACCCGTACTCAGTCGGTTGTCACGGACGCTGCTGGTTCTGCTAGTCCTACTAGCCCGGCTAGAGCTGCGATCGGGGTCTCTCTCGATAGATGGTCGAATGGTAAAGTACTCCGGGGTGAGCCCGTGCGGATCCTGTGCGAGGTAGCCGCTGTCTTTCTTCACCCGTTTTCTGATCCACGCCCGCCGTCGGACAAAGGAATTCCACCACCGAGCACTGTGCCATGCGAACTTCTTAGAAAAGGCAAACGAGTATTCCCAGCCGTCGTCGTCCACGCCGTCGTCATGATTAATACGCCACTCTGGCCAAGCCCACTCCCAGCTGGGATCAGGTACCTGCGCGGTATGTATGTCGGTTGGACTGGGTCGGTGGACGAAGTTGGTCCAGGCCGGCGGGTCGAGGTTGCCGAGGGCCATCGAGGAGAACAGCGGGATTCCGCAAAGAAAACCACCCCGCTGATTCTCGTAGAGGATGTCAATGGCCGACTCAGGTGTCTTAAGCCTCGTTTTGGGTTTACAGTGATCTCGTGCGGCCCTTGTGACGGCTACAGGGTCGTCTAATTCTACCTGCGGTGTAGGTTCTGCGGGGGCGTCAATGGTGTGGGAAGTCAAATGGACCAGCCATGAGGCTGATTGGTTTTGTAACTCACCCTGAACCACGACGGAGGGCTGGCCACCATCTCTCGGCTCCGTCAACCCTCTCCCAAGTCCATCCTCCCCATCAATCCAATCGGTCGGCTGTCCGTCGCCATCGGGTGTTAAACCTTCGCGCGGAGCGGCAGTCGATGGGCCGGACGAGGGCGCTTGGATGGGGCTCTCTTCCTCGTCTCGATCGACAAGGCTGATCTCATGGTCAAAGTCGCTGTCCTTGGGCGGCGGTACACGGCGCGAGGACCGGTGGTGTCTGACCTTGGGCATGACTTCTCATGCCATTGTGCGTTTGCTTAAATGCCACGCGGCGAGGTACGCGCTCGATATAGCCAGCCGGTAGGTGTCAGTGCCGGGTCGGGGTCGCCAATGGAGGAGGGATGCGCGTCGGAGTAAGAGAAGAATAAAGCTAGAGATGAGCGCGTGCTGCAACGTCCAAATTTATCACAGGGACGCGATCGGGAGAAAGCGAAGGCTTTAATCCACAAATATCGAAGCTCAATAAATAGTCCCCCAAAAATTTCTGTCCAGCGGCCGCCGCTAGTGATGCTGTGGAAAGGCGTGTCAACAGCAATCACCAACACAAGTCGCTGGACGACAAACGCTGCGATGGGGGAAAAGTAAAAGGTTAAATCGAAGCAGCGGACGGACAACCCTGGCAAGCCTGGGCCGTCGCGCCATGATGTAATCTTAGGTGTGAGGTCCGGGTTCACTTACTGCAGCACCGAAGCCACAGTGGCAGAGTGGCTCAGTCCTCTCGACGGCTCGACTTGTCGAAGCTGGAACTGCTTGGAGAGTGGATCCTCTCAGTGAGCTGCACCTCGCGTCTGCACATCACGCCCCCGCTCCCCTACGTCATACATACCGACCACATGGCCGGAAGGAGAGAGCTTGCTGTGAGAATGCAGGGCCAATGCAGGCAAATGCGCAGTCTCGGAAACGGACGTCTAGCCGGGCCTTGAATTAAAACCATGCCATCCCTCCTACTTTTGACGACAACGACCCCTCACCCCAAGCCCACAACAACCTCATCTTACTCTAACACTAATTTCACATTCACGCGGACCACGTTGTGATAAAATTTCCCAAAAATCACATCCACCCCCATCAAAGCAGCAAACAACCACCGTCATGTCTCGATCCAAGGCCCCTCTTGCTATTGGCCTCGCTGCGGCGGGCGGGATCGGCTATTACCTCTACTCGGCCGGCGGTTCCCCCCGTGCGGCTGAGAAACAGTTTGAGAGTGAGTGCCCAAACTTTCAAACTTGAGAAGAAGGCAAAATAAGAGAGTAGAATAAGAAACGGGGGGAGGGGGGGCAACACTTCACACCCGATTTGCCTTTTCATTATGTACTAACATAAGAACTTCAGGCGATGCGCACCATGTAGCAGCCAAGATCAAGGGCGAGCTGCCACAGCATGGAACCGAGAGTGAATACACTGGGCGGAAGGTTGGTCAGGAGATCGGTAGCAAGATTGATGGAGCAGTATGCCAAGCCTCCCTCAGCATTTCCTTTTTTTGTTTCCCCCGTACTGACCGCCTACCTCCCGCAGGTCAACAGCATTAACCGCGACATTTCTAAATCTAAGAGCGAGGCCGAGTCGTACGCCAAGGCAGCCAAGGCCGACACACTCAAAAAGATTGACGAATTTGACCGCAAGGTTGAGGATGGTGCTGCAAAGAGCAAGAGCTACCTGTCCTCGTGGTTTGGCAGTAAATAATGAAGGGTGTGGTGAACCTCCCTTCTTTCATTTTGTCATACGTTATTTTGCCCCTTAGTTAGTGTTCTGTCGGGTTTCGTTCCACTCTCGGAGTTTGCTACGCTGGCTTGGCTGGGTTAAACTAGCAATGGATGTCGGAAGCATAGGAAGACTGCGGCCGCGTCTGTGGTGTAATAAATTGGGATATCCTGTTTCTCATGAGTGGGATATCAAATTTCGGCGTGACTAGCCTACCGACTTCGGGTTTTGGTATACATAAATGGATACACCATTGTCGCCCTAATTCAAGGCCGCTGAAACTAGCTTCAAAACCTCTTCCGTCCCTTTCCCAGCATTCTTCGGATCCTTCGCCACCCCTTGCCACACCTCGCCATGGCGTGGATCGTTGAGCACGCACTTGGCGATTAGATCTGCCTTCTTCTCGTCTGTCCCGTGCTGAAGCAGGAATTTGTAGTACCATGCCCACGTATCACCCACGTCGCGATCCAGTAGTAGTGCTCGCTCGAACCAGTTCTGCGCCCGGTCCAGTTTGCGCTCCGCCCACAAGATGCGCGCCGCCGTGACCTGCAGGACGGGGTCGTCTTCGACTTTCTTGATGGCTTCCGTGATGAGCGTCTTGCGTTGGGTGCGCGGCTCCAAATGTAGAATACGCTCAGCCCAAAGAAGCCCATTCTTGGGCATCTGCTGCTGCGCGCTGGCCATCAAGCTTTTGGCCTGCCCCAGATTGCCCGCTCGGCGCTCGACGCGGATCAACTCCGTCCAGAGCTCCGGGGACTTGGGTACGGCCTGCCGCGCGCGATCGAGTACGCTGCGCGCCTTGACAACGTTGCCCGCCCGCTCCTCGAGGCGCGCATAGAGCAACCATAACGGCACGGACGTTGGCACCGCACGTACGCCAGTGCCATACGCATCGCGGGCCTGCGGCAATTTGCCAAGATCCTCGTAAATCTGGCCCTTCATCATCCATAGCTTGGGGGCCGCCGGGAAGAGTTGCAGGGCGTCCTGCACCAGGTCCAGCGCGGCCTCGTCGGCGCCGAGTTGCCGCTCGAATGCCACGCTCCGCATCCACACGCGGTCAGTCGGCGCGTTCTGCCGTGCCGTCTTGAGCAGGTCGCGTGCTTGCTCGGTGAACCCGTTGTCCGCCTCAAGCTTAACCGCAGCTAGCCAGATATCCTCGTTGTCCGGGTTCTGCTTGAACGCCCGCGCCAACACACGCCGCGCCTCGTTAAGCTCACCTGCCTTTTCTTTGGCTAACATAAGCCAGAAAACTTCCACGTGGGGGCACGCCTCGACGGCTTTCTCAAGCGCCCGCCATAGGTCATCTTTCGTGCCATGGTTGCGTTCGAGCTCCACCGCTGCGAGATATAGGCTCCGGCTGTTGGGAAAGACGCGCAAGGCGTATGCATAGATGGCGCGGGCCGTCGCAAACTTATCGCGACCAATGCTAGCTTTGGCATCTTCCATCCAAATCTCCTTGCGGTCATCGTCTTCGTCCAGGCCCCACCCGAGCGTCTCTTCGATTATGTTGCTGCATGTAACCACAGCCCCTTCGTCCTCACACTTCTCCGCCTCGGCAATCCATTCTTCGCGCTTCGGCATGGCATTGCGCTTGGCAAGGAATTGCACTGCGTTCTTCATCACCGGCCGCCGGGCACTCTCGTTGATCTGCTCCTCGAGTCGGGCGGCCGCAATCCAGAGCTCGTGCGAGCTGGGCAGCTTCTTGACCGCTTTATTGAGCACCTTGCGCGCGTTTTCCGGGGTCTCGAGACGTGCGAGTGCCAACCACAGGTCGAGAGACTCAGAAATGAGCTCGGTGGCCTTGGCCAACAGCATGCGCGCATCGGCTGGGTCTTCTTCCAGGTTGACAGCCTCCTTCCACAGCGCTTCCGACTCCGGATTGTGATCCAACGCTCGCCGGATAACCTTCTTCCGGGATCGCGGGTCATTCTCAAGCTTCATCGCTTCGACCCAGAGCTTGACCGAGTGCGGGTTAGCCTGGATAGCCTGCGCGGCGATCACCTTAGCGTTGCGGTTGTCGTTGAGATGGATGTTCTCCAGCCAGATGTCCTCGCTTTTGGGGCAATGCTGACACCCCTTAGCAATCAAATTGCGTGCAGCACCAGGTTTCCCAGCCGCAATCTCTAACCGAGCTGCGGCAATCCAGCTTGCAGCTTGTTTCGGGTTCGAATCGACCGCTGACTTGAGCATCTTCCGGAACTGTTCCATGTCCCCGATGCTCTGCTCTGCGCCTTGCAGGCTCGACAGGGAGGTGAGGTAGCCCTTCGGGTCAATACTCGTCGCGCCCCCCGCCGTAGCAATGCCGCTGCTCTGTGACTGTTGTTCCAACCTGGCGCGAAGCACTTTGTCGCGGGCCGCGCCAATCTTAGCGAAATCTGTCACTGTGCCATCTTTGTTACCCCCGTCTACTGAGCCACCGGTCCCGCCACCATCATCCGAGACCGTAGTCCCGAATTGCCCCTGGTCTCTCGCCGCGGCCAGCACGCTGTCGGGTACAGCGTAGAAGCGTTGCATGCGTTCCTGGCGGGCTCGCTTCGTGCGGCCGGTGAGGTCTTTGGGGTCTGGCAGGCTCGCCCATTCTTCGTCAGTCACCGTCTCGAGGGCACGCTTGAGGCCGGCAAACTGCTGTTGTATCTTGGGGTTCATGCGCTCGTATTCTTCGCGTTCGTTGTTTTCCCGTATTTCCCTGTGCAAATATCGGTCGGTACACTGCTCATCTAGACGGACGGATAAACTACATGTCTAGGAGGGAACAGGTGGCAAAAGGGGTATAAATGGAAGGGAAGAGCAGATGGATGGGCACTGACCTTTGTTTCTGGCGGCGCTTAGCCATCTTGTCATCGACGTCTTTCCATATCCGGTCGGCCTCCTCGTCGTCCTTCTCGTAGATGCCGCCCGCGAAAAGGCCAACTTCGTTATCGGGATCCTGATACCGCTCATCATCATCCTTGCCGTCGTCTTTCGATTCCGTTAGACCAAGCTGCGCGGACCTCTTCGCGACGGCAGCTTTAATTTGGTCTTCGCTGGGACCTTCGCGCGCTGGACCAAGATCTGACCGTGTGGTGAAGCCGGTGGCTCCACGACCGAGGCCGGCCACATAGTTGTCGGGTGCCGGTTGGCTGAGGAAGTCGCGCCGGCTGGCCATGTCGTTGTGATGTTTGGTGATGAGGGTGGTGGTGTCAAGGCCGAAAAGCGGACCGTGGTTTTAAGCGACAGGAGCAGGGAAACGAACTAACTTAAAGAGCTGCACCGACGTCCACCGTTTTACTGTTGATCGAGGGTTAGGGTTGTATATGGGAGAGAGACAGCCAAAACCACGAGCACCAAATCGCGAGACAGGCGTACCAATAACTCATTGTTAACCCCAAAAAGCCCTTCGTTGAATGTCCAGCCTCTGGGACATTTCGTTAGGTCAAGGGAAGAGGTAGACTGTTACACTTCGTGTCTCTTATCAACGAAGTTCAGTTAACCTCGCCCAACCTATCGTAGTCTCAATGTTGACGAAACGACAAGGAAACACTACCACCTATCTATCATAACAACCTTATCCGTTCCCATGCCTCGTGTTTAACTTCCGGTATACCAAGGGAAAAAATAAAACAAACAAAGAATCAACATAGGACGCCCCGTCCGGCCCGTTTCCCGCTTTGTATCTTGTAACCCGAGAAAAAGAGATGCAGGACAGTTATTGCAATAACAACGTCCCCTCGTCCAAAACACCAAAAAGACCCTCAATCTCCTTCGCCACAATCTTTAATTCCTCTGCAACCTGCCCCGTAACCAACGCATAAGCATACAGCAGCGCATAATCATGTTCCTGGACGTTAACATAGCCAAGCCGCCCCGGTGCTCCAAAGTAGTTGCCACCACTACTACTGCTCCCTCCCTCTAAAACGCTTACATCCACCTGATGCTCCTTCCGGAACTGGAAAATCTTGCCCAGCAACCGATCCCTCGACCGCGCCACGCTCGGAATGGCATCTGTCAGTGGATACTCTAGCATGAGCGACGACGCCAGCACCTGGAAGACATGACAGATCCGCTCGCACAGCATCGCTCGCTCATCAGCCGTGTACTGCAGCAGCGCGCGCTCTCCGTCCGTCAGCACCGCTTTCCGCTGCGTAACTAGCGACATTCCGTAAAAGGCGTCGAGTAGGCGGTGAGTGCAGGCCATCAACCGCTGAGACTGGTCTGCGGGGAACGGGCCGCGAAGCTCGAACTCGCTAACGGCGCTGGTGCGCAGCGAGTCAAGACGGCCGGCATATTTTTGCAGGGCGGTTTGCTCCCCGGTGCGCAAGTAGGAGCGCGTGCAGTCACTGCGGAGGAGGATGGCGAGGGGCCCACGCTTCCAAATCAGACCCATCTGGAGATACACCATGCTCAGACCTTGCTTGAACTTCTTGCGAGCCGAGATCGGCCAAATAAGGCGGCACACAATAAGGCCGTACAGGATACCGACGGTGACGGCCGTGAAGCGGTGGAGGAGAATCTCCTTGATGATGGGGTCCACGCCACCTTCGTCGTCATCGTCGTCGTCAACCTTCTGCGAGAGGCTGTAGGCGTATAGGGTCGAGACGTTGTATGCTAACAGCGTGATCCGTCCCATGGGCGCGTTGCCGCGTGCGATGATGACGTAAAAACTCCAGAAGGCGACGAGCGAGCCGAGTGGGACGAGGGCAAAGGGACTCTGTTGGGAGATTTGCCAGTTTATAGCCGCGGCCGTGATACCAACCATAGTACCCAGAAATCTCGCCAAGCCAGTCGTGTTGGCAGCGCCGACGGTCATGGAACAGACGATCATGAATGACAAGAGGCCCCATTCACCTCGCCAGTGCCGGTATAACTCCCGGGTTTGGGGGATGAAGGAGAGCGAGGCCCATAAGGTCGCTCCCACGCCCACTTTCAACCCGAATCGGACTAAACGAGAGTTAGCAGAAGTCTATTTACAGCGGATGGCGCAGAGATAACACCAAAAAGCAGCTGGGTAGACGGGGAATTAGAATAACGCTCACCATCATCCCTTGCCAGTTTCCTCACCGCACCCAAGATACGCTGGGACACGCGCGCGACTAACTTCGTCTTCTTCGTTTCCGGGGCAGCTTCCCAACTATACGTATCTCTTCGCCGTAGCAACGGCTCCGCAATGCCCCTAGGGATGGCGGTCTTTTTGATCGGCTTGATTAACCGGGCCTGCTCCTCATTGTCGTACGGCAAAGTCAAAGCCTTCTGCCCCGGATCACGGCTGTCCTTTCTCCACCACATGAGCCAGTGCCAACTGCGCTTGCGGCGCTCGTCGGCAAACTTCAGGTCGTCCAGCACGTCGAGGTATTTTTGCATCTCCTCGCCAAAGGTCTGCAAACTGAAACTGAAGTGGCCGCACGCGGCAGCAACCTCCTCGAAGTCGGCCTGGATGCTCTCAGACCTCGTCCGCTCCAGTTCCAGTGTCTTGTACAGTTCTTCAAGGGCGTGCGCACGGGCTTCGTTGAACAGTGATAGAGCATCTGTGAGACTTTTGCGGAAATGCTCATTGATGGTGATGCGATAATCGGGACTGGCTCCAAACGGCGGGTCACGGAGCACTTCGGACAAGGTGTACGCCAACGACTTCATCGATGGCCCCAACAACTCGATAAAAGCGGCAAAAATCTCAGAGGGGTGGCGAAATGGAGGTAGGCTCGTGGTAGTGACATCCGATGCGCGCCGCCCCAGGGTATGATCACCCCTTTCCTCGTCATGGCTCTCCTCGGACGCCTCGTCAATAGCGGACAACAGAGGGGGCCGATCCCTCCCACTCTTCATCGTGTTGGACATAGTCCGTCGGAAGGTTGGTGAAAAGAGCGGAGTCACGGGTTGATCGGTTGGAGAAAGGAAAGGTACCATGGGCTCCTTCAGGAGGGCAAACTGTGAATTGGCCGCACTTCGCAACCCTCCGATGGATTGGGCCAGCGTCTCCATAGATCGCACGACGGCCCGATCAAGTCGATAAACACTCTCGTGGCCGAGAAAGTACCGTTCAAACTTGGCCTCGCGGAGGTTCTTGGCCATCTGGGGGTAGACGGCGGAGTACGTGGAAGATGCAGCAGCAAAATCGGGCGACAGTACATCATCTTCGGACCCGCTAAGAAATCCGTGGGTAATCAGCGAGAGCATATCGCCTAGGGAAACCGAAGCTTTGGTCATGGATTGGCGCAAGGCCGAGACAGCAGAGGCTTTCCAAACCGTGATGTTGACGACGGTGGTGATGGTGATGCCCATGAGCAGCATTTTAAGGAGCTGGAAAATCTTTTGGTTGGAAAACACGCTCGTAAACACGGCAGTCTCCTTGGTCACGACACCAATGATCGCGAGAGAAGCCAAGGTGCTACCGACGTTTACGAGTGGGTTGTTCATGCGCTGCTTGACCCATCCCATGAAGCCAAAGGCACCACCGATAAATAGGAGCAGCACCAAGCTGTGCGCGAGGGCAACCATACCTAGTACGCCGCCGAACAAGACGGACGTACACATGGACAAGATCGAGACCAGCTCCGCGTATGCGACGGCCACAAACGCGATCAAGACGGCCTCGATCATAGACCCGACCGATCGGGCGGGGTGGAAGTACACGGTCAAGGTCGCCACGACGTGTTTGCCGTCCGGCCGGCCGAGAAAGTCGGAGAGCGGCGACCAAAACGTGGCCAAGCTACCGAGGGTATATGCGAGTGTACATTTGATGATTCCGTGACCAACGGGTGTGTTCAGCCAGTGGAGCAAGCGAACGCCAGCTGCTCGTATATTATGCGCCATCGTGCGCCCTCGGTCGGCCACAGACTGGCGCGGCGAGAATGCGTCCATAGTCGACGGCGGCGCGGATGCGTCGGTTTGCCTCGATGAGAAAAGGCCGGAAGGTCGGAGGGTGAAGGTGCGGTGGGACCGCTCGCCGGTCGAGGGGATGATGAATGAGCCATTGCGTAGCTTCTAAGGAGGGAACCAACTATTAGAAGGCAAGTCGCTCTCGCTACTTAAGATCGCTAAAAGAAAGGATGAAACACAATGGATTGGGGGTACCCACACTTCTCTTGGACGGCCGTTGCGGCGGCCATGGACCTGCCGGTGGTGTCGAAGAAGATTCCATCCCCAAACAGAGTCGGAGCTCTCATGATCTGCGATGTCTGAGAGGGAAACCAATGAAGATGTTCAACTTTGCGATGCGCAACTAATCCTCGATCATTTCCAAATTCCGCTTCGAGGTCCCCAAACGCGTATCTCGCACAGGGCTGAATGAGCCCAACGTTTTTGAGCGGGTGGGTTCGTCCCGGGTTGGTCTCAAGCTGCGGCACTGCGTGCGGCGGTTGGACTGAAATGACGAGAGCTTCGCGCTCCCGTCGCACTTCGTAGGTGTTGTGGCCGGATTTAGGCCGCAAGGGTACCGCTCCCTTCCCGCAGCGACGATTTGCTTGAGACCCACAGCAGTATCCACCCGCTGTTGCAACCCCTGCCAGGGCGCTGGGGAAAACGCGGGGTCTTTGACCACCCACCACAACGGCCCGTCGGGATCTGTCCGAACGGGAGCCGATGTCTCTCCAAAACTCCCCGACGTCTACCGATGCCCTTCGACACTATAGCCCCACTTCACTTCCCGGAATCCCGTCCATTCGCAAGTTGGGTAATCTGCCCGTGATACATCGTCCTGCAGTGAGACCGTCCCGTGCTCTTCACCGTGCCGATGCGAAGAGTCTGGCCCATAATGCCGTCTGCTTCTTACCCATGGAAATTTGCGCCTCTGAACCGGCCTTTCTCCCCTCGGCCAGAGGTGCGCAAGTTAGAGGGCATCGTGTTTGACATGGATGGCACATTATGGTGCGTAACACAGGCATGGTCTAAAACTCGAAGAGTGGTAGATACGCCCACCGTGATCCGCTCTCTCCGTTGACCAAATCCCCCTTACTAAGCTTTCTTAGTGAACCCCAAAACTACATGTTCGCCGAGATGCGCAGCGCCCTCGACATCTCCAAAGCGACCGACATCCTCGAGCATGTCTACTCCCTCCCCACCTCGGAGCAGCAACAGCACGCCATGGGCCTCATCCGCGCCATTGAGAGCCGCGCCATGGTGTCCCAAGTCGCCCAGCCGGGCCTAGTCGAGTTAATGGCCTACCTTGACACCCGCAACATCCGCAAAGGCATCTGCACGCGCAATTTCGATGCCCCCGTGCAGAATCTCCTCACCAAGTTTCTGACGGGGACTACGTTTGGGCCGATTGTCACGCGCGAATTTCGCCCGCCAAAGCCTGATCCAGCGGGGATTCTGCATATCGCGCGCAGCTGGGGGCTGGTGCGGAAGAGTACTGGTGAAGCGGGTGTGCCGGCTTACTTTGTGGAAGGAGAGAGTGAGGGGAAGGGAGGGTCGCAAGATGTTGCCGACGAGCCAAGGTTGCAGAAGACGGAGGTCGGTGAAGAGGTTGCTGATGCCAGTGGGCTCATTATGGTGGGTGATAGTATTGACGACATCACCGCAGGGCGTCGGGCGGGAGCCAGGACAGTCTTGTTGGTGAATGATGTGAATCGGCATTTGGTGACGCATGAGAACACCGACCTAGTAATCTCACGCCTCGACGAGCTGATTGATATCCTTGAAAACGGCAAGCTCTGATAGAAAATGGTATCAATTAAACATGTAGGATGAACACAAATGTGGTTTGTCCGCCTACTAGGCAAGTATCATTCCAACGTCACTGTGGGCCAGGTAAGATCTGCCTGGCTGCAGAAGACACTTTTGCATTGTGAAAAGCGTAATTTGCACGATTCGACCGGCCTGCAGCCTCCCCATATATATGGCTACATCACAACGGGCTGTACCCCCCTCGCTGTGAAGGAGGTATCGCCATATTCTGCACCAAGCAAGACAATCTCGGAAACCTGGCTTGAGGACGATCAGATAAACAAAATAGACGCGGAAACAGGGACGCCAGTAAATGCTGGAATTAACAAAGCAGGAAGTAGTCCGGTGGAAGGTGACGCAGGTTGCGATCGGCGCGGCAAACCATCAGCGCTGTTCTAGATTGTGGAAGACCCGACGTCTCTTCCCACGCACTCAATCGGGAGTAGTCCTCGTATCGTTCATTCATGTTCCCATTCACGGATATACAACCGGTCCACCTGCGCAGCCAGGCCTGCTTGGTCGGTTGCTTGCCGGTATGCTGCCTCATTGATTAAGATCTGGTAGAAGCGAATGGAATCGGAGCGGGTAGGGACTCACATGAAGTGGGGGTCTGCTGTGCATATGTTGGGGAGTCACTGGACCGAAGGAGCTCCTGGGTCGCGGGCGAGAGTTGGGGCGCCAGATGAGACTTGCGGTTGTCTCGGTCCATCAAGCCACAAGCCCACTCTCTCAGATCGACCGGTGTCCTTTTAGCAGCTTGGACGAAGAGATCCCGGTCCTGAAACTATGTTAGCGCCTGCTTTGAGTTCGACGCAAGCCTGTGGGAGTGTGAACAAGGAGGATCGTTCTTACGAAAAGGTCTTGTGGTGTTGGGCGCCTTTCGGGCTCCTTGTACAAACACTTCTGTATCATATCTTCAAGAATCTGGGGGAATGCATCGCTCTTCGGCAACTGAGGCGCGGGTTCATGGACGATCTGCTGGAGGAGGTCGAGAATACCGGCCGGCGCGCTCTCTGCATCGGATAGCTGCTCACTTGCGGCAAATGGGAACTTGCCAATGGCCAATTCCATGATGGTCAAGCCAAAGCTCCACACATCTGACTTCACGGTGTACCTCTCGCCCTGGATCCTCTCAGGGGCCATGTATGTGGATGTCCCCACAAACGTGTCCGCAACCGAGTTGATAAGCTCTCCAGACACTCCAAAATCGCAAAGCTTGATGGACCCCTTGGAGTTGACCAGGACGTTTGATGGCTTGATGTCGCGGTGCATGATGTGGTGTTTCGTGTAGAGGTATGTGAGACCGCCCAGAGTTGCTTCGGCAATCTTGCCCAAAACGTCCACCCGGACAGGACCGAAAACCCGTGAGATGCGATCGAGAGACCTATTTCACAAATTAGCGAGTCAGCGGTCGGCAACCCGCGGATAGAACCGCGGCCTGTTGGGACACTACCTACCCAACATCCATATACTCCATGCACATAATCACATCGTTGTTCTCGTTAAGGAAAGCGCCGTAGAATGTGACGATATAATCGGAGTGACACCCATGCATAATTTGCAGTTCTCGAACGATCCGCTTCCGCATTTCACTCTTGGCCTCGACGTGTATGATCTAGTGGGCGGTTAGAGGGAAAACAGGCTTGAGCTCTTAACACAACGAGGCTGAACCGAACCTTTCGCGCCATGACGGTATTTGTCGGAATATGCTTGACTTTGCTGACCGTTCCCCCATTTCCAGCACCGAGGTCCTTGATAATCTCCAAGTCCTCGGGCTTTAGATCCAAGTTGAACTCGATACCAATTTCCAACTGCGCCGCATTGTCGTCCGTCTTTCCGTTCGCGGGGCCCATGCGGACGGCATTTTCGGCGGTCGGCGGAGGTTTCGGGGCGGGCTGCTTCAGAGCGAGACCTTTGACGTTCTTACGCTTCATGGAGCGTGGCGCAAAGGGGTCGGCCATGGCGGGCGACTGGGGCGTCGATTTGGAGTCGCCTGTTCGGAGGAATGGGGATGTCGCGGATGGATAGACGGGGTTTGTTCGGACAAAGGGCCGTCTTGAAATCTGATAAGATACTTATTTATCGAGCTCGTTGCGGTCGCATCTTCCTATTTGGACGCGACGGGCTCGGTGGGCAGGAGTTGTGCTTGGGTTGGGCTTTCGGGCGACTTGGGTGACTTGTGGCAAGCTGAGAAGAAGCGCCAGGGGCGGGGGAGTTGTCTGAATGTGACGGGACGGCGCCAAGAGGGGTCGGTCCGCTGAAAATCCTCAGCAAGCGCTTGTTAGTTTGCTCGATGCTTAGGGGGCTAAAATTTGAGGATTTGAAGTCTATGGTTTCGTAAAATTCATCTACTTATCGCTTCCAAAGAGTGAGTTTCCGGAAGGTAGGTATCTTATGACAAGAAACACCTCTGGTGTGGGGTGGTGGTGGTGGTCTGGCGAGATCGCATGTCCATGCACCTAACGGAGAACTCGGGGTTCACGTTCCCAAGCAGCCAATTTTCAAGTGGAGTAAAATAACCAAACGTGCGACAAAAACTCGTTCCTGACAGCTGGTTGAAACACTGTCATTACCTAAGAGCCCGACAGAGCTCGCGGGGAAAGTCAAAGGGGGACGGAGGTGCGTAAAAGTCTCCCTGCTCCCACTCGAGTTTCTGTGATGTGGGGTGCTCTTGGTGGCGGCGGCCCACCCATGTTGGACCATGCTTTTCAAGCTGTAACCTTCCAGTTGCCCCTTCACCTCGACGGGCAGGTGACAGAGAGCGCTCCCCAATAGGCCAACCAAACGAAAGAACGAAATGCGATTTGTTTCCATCCAGTCGACGCCTGGGTACCTTGCTTAGGATGCTGCCCTGTCCAGCACCCCAGTCAATTGTCGATGATGTCGGCCCTAGGTAGATCGCAAAACGACATAACCGACCCTTGTATGTACATACATACACTACCAAGGAGGGGTGAAACCATGAATGTTAGAGGCGGACTAACCGGTTAACTCCAAAGCTAAATCACACGTCCCGGGAAGCTTCTATAGCTATTCGTACGTCAACTGTACGAGTTGTAACTACCAAGGTCTCTAGCATCACCTCTTATAGCTGAGAAAAAGGGGTCAATTCCAAATGAAGGGGAAATAGAATCGGAATGAATCTCGTGTTGTTCTAGCAAATCATCAGATCAACGATATTTCGAACTTACGATGTACATGTATTTAACGGGATGCCTCTACGCGTACATACTATGTTAGTAGTGAGATGTTGGGGAGCGAGCCACAGCGTGTCTTGGCATGAAGGCATGCAAGCATGGGAAGCACAGACCAGCTTGGATCACCCGCGGAATTGAAGTCCCGGGCGAGGCTGAACGCGACCGGCGTTGGAGCAAGTCGCCCTGGGTTTCTAAAATTTCCAACCTTGGACCTCGCAGCCTTCCATTCAAGTGCTCGACATCCATCGGCTCTCTGACCAAATCCCTCCTAGGGTTTATTTCCTCCTTCTTTTTCATCAATCACCCAATCAAAAAAAGAACATCCTTTTTCGCGATTCGATAACTCGCCTCGCCACTCCCCTTGCTCCGCAAACTCGGAGCGTGACGCGCGCCGTTACTTTGATCATGAGCACGTCGATGCGCGATCTAATCGATGGGGAGGCCGAGTTAAATGACGAGGAGGATGACGAGTCTTTCGATGAAGAGGGTGGCGAGCGCCGCAAGCGGGAGCGCGATAATGCCCTAGATGATTCTAGCGAGGAAGAAGACGATGACGACGACGAAGAGGAAGCCCGAAGGGTACGACCATGTACCCACTCGTTTTTGCTAACTAACTCGGGCTAATCACGTATTTATTTTCCCCAGATTCGAGAAGGCTTCATCGTTGATGAGGATGAGGAAGAGGAGGCGGATGATTCAGAAGCACGCGAACGTCGTAAGAAGAAAAAGCGTCGTCGGGTCGAGCGTGAAGAGGAGGAGCAGCTTGACGAAGAAGATCTCGACCTGATTGGCGAGGCAAATCCAGAGTGGGAGCGCAAAACCCAAGCGCAGGTATGTCGCCCTCCGTTCTAACCACTGACCGCATCCCGTGGCTTACCGTCTGCATGGAAGACAAAGTTCAAGCGCTTGAAGCGCGGCCACCGCGATGAAGACCGTGGGAAAGAACGGCGCCCCGACCTCGCCGAGATCTTCTCGGATGATGATGAGGACATGGCTGACGACCGAGGCTACGGACGCCCGAGCCACCGCGCGCACGTTGACGAGTTTGACGATTTCATCGAAGACGATTACCCCGAGGACGACGAGGAGCGCATTCAGCGCCAAGAAGACATGGAGGTTGCCCGCCCAAGAGATAAGGGTCTCGCGGTCGACGCAACCGGTCTTGACAAGGACGCACTCGACGACATGGAGAACATATTTGGAAATGGCGACGAGTATGGCTGGGCTCTGGACTTAGAGGAGGATGAGGAGGCTCAAGAGCGCGAAGAGCAGACGATCGAGCTGAAGGATGTGTTTGAGCCCTCTCAGCTCAAGGAGAAGCTTCTCACCGACGAGGACAACCAGATTCGTATCGTCGATGAGCCCGAGCGGTTCCAGCTTGATCGCAAGCCTTTCAAGGAGCAACAGACGTCGGCCGAATACTTCAAAGAGGAGGCACGCTGGATTACGAATCTAATGTGGCCCAAGAAGCAATTGCCGGGTGATCTCCACGGCCCATTCAACAAGGCGATTGGCAAAGTGCTCGAATTCTTCATCATCGATGGCGTCGAGGTCCCCTACGTCTTCCAGCACCGCAGAGACTACCTCATCCACGCTAAGAAGATTAGGAACCAGGACGGCCGCGACCACCCGGACGCCCCCGAATACACTGTCGATGCCGAGAAGTTGCTTACCCAGGATGATCTGTGGCGGATTCTCGAGCTCGACATCAAGTTCCGCTCTTTGATCGAGAAACGGAACGCGCTTGAGCGCTCGGTTGAGGACCTCAAGGGTGCGAACGTGCAGGACGACGTACTGGAAGAGATGATCCCCTTGGCCGCGACGCTTGAGGAACTTCAGGATCTGCAAGATTACCTTAACTTCCAGTACTCCTCACAACTCAAGGACATTGCCGCCATGGGCAATGGCGCCTCAAAAGAGACGAAGCGCCCGGGAGCCAAGACAGCCGTTTTCGAACGGATCAGAAGGTCGCGGGCTTATAAGTTCGTCAAAGCTCTCGGCATCTCGCCCGACCGTCTGGCCCAGAATGCTCTCCGGGAGGGCAAAAAGGAGTCCTCGGACGACGATAGCAAGCTACCTCTCGACCTAGCCGACCACTTGGCAGACAGTGACTTTTCGACAGGCGACCAGGTGATCAACGTCGCCCGTCAGATGTACGCTGAGGAACTCTTTGTGAGCCCACGGATGCGCAAGCATTTCCGCATCCAGTACTACCTGATGGGCTGTGTGAGCTGTCGCCGGACGGAGAAGGGCCTTCGCAAGATTGACGAGGCCCACCCCTACTACGAGATCAAGTACCTTGCCAACCACACGATCAGGGATCTTGCCGTGCGGCCCGAGATTTTCCTCAAAATGATGAAGGCGGAAGACGAAGGACTTGTCGAAGTCAATCTAACCCTAGAGAACGACCGCGAATTCCGCCGGCAGCTCTACAACGAATTTGCCTCGGACAACTTCAGCGACCTTGCTGATGCGTGGAACTCGGAGCGCCAAAAAGTTCTCGACATCTCCTTTGCAAGACTGGAAAAGGTGATTGCCAAGGGCGTGAAGGACTCGCTTCGGACGGCCTGCCAGGAGGAGCTACTCAAGACTTGCCGGGAGGAGTATTTCAAACGGCTCGACCAGGCTCCTCTCAAACCTAAGGGCATGGTTCTCGGTACCACCCCGCGTGTGCTCACACTGTCCAATGGCATGGGTGACCCCAACCGCGATCCTGTTTCTTGGACGTGGGTTGAGGAAGATGGCCGGGTCCTAGAACACGGCAAGTTCGTGAATCTAGCGCGGGATGAAAGTCAGAGAGACCTCTTTGCCGAGCTGGTTCGCCGGAGGAATCCAGACGTCGTCGGTATTTCCGGCTTCTCGGCGGACACCCAGCGGCTGATCAAGGATGTGGAGGGCCTGATCAACGAAAAGGGCTTGATGGGACCGGAGTACGATGACCCAGAGACCAACGAATACCGTAGCGACTTGCTCGAGGTAGTTATCGTCAACGATGAAGTGGCCCGCCTCTACAAGGATAGCCCACGCGCCATCTCCGAACACCCGACTTTAAACCCACTCACCCGGTACTGCATCGCACTAGCCCGGTACATGCAAAATCCCATGAAAGAGTATGCGGCACTGGGCAAGGACATTACGTCCTTGCTTATTCATCCCTACCAGCAGTACCTCCCGCAGGAAAAACTGTACAAGCACCTCGAGACAGCAATGGTGGATATTGTCAACCTTTGCGGCGTGGATATCAACGAGGCCATGGGCGATTCCTACACAGCGAATTTGCTCCCTTACGTGGCTGGTCTGGGCCCGCGCAAGGCGCAGCTTCTCATCAAGGGCATCAATGCCAACGGCGGTGTTGTTACTTCTCGCGACGAGCTTGTGGGCGATCCGGAGCGCCACAAGATCCCTGTGCTAGGTCCCCGTGTATGGAACAACTGCGCCAGCTTCCTGTACATTGAGCACGATAGCACCGACCCTGACTCGGACCCGCTCGACAACACGCGTATCCACCCGGAAGACTACGATCTTGCCCGCAAGGTTGCCGCAGATGCCTTGGGTCTAGACGAGGAGGACGTCAAGGCCGAGACAGACGTCAACGGGCCGGGTGCCATCGTGCGGAAGTTGTTCAAGGAGGACGAGCAGGAGAAGGTCAATGAGCTGATTCTAGAAGAGTACGCTGAGCAGCTGGAGCGCGAGTACCAGCAACGCAAGCGGGCCACCCTAGAAGCGATCCGGGCAGAGCTCATGGGCCCATTTGAGGAACTGCGCAAAAACTTTGGCGTACCAGGCGCGGATCAGATCTTTACCATGTTCACGGGCGAAACACGTGACTCGCTTTGCGAGGGCATGATCGTGCCGGTCAACGTCCGCCTGGTCAAGGACGACTTTGCGATCGCCAAGCTGGACTGCGGCATCGAGGGACGCGTGGAATCTCACGAGGTATCGTACCGGCATTCGATCAAGGACATGTTGCAGGTCGGGCAGACGGCACAAGCCAAAGTGATCGAGGTCAATCGCAAGGACTTTGTCTGCAAGCTGTCGATGCGCGAGGAGGAACTGCGGCGGCCGTACCGGAGGCATTACGACTATGGACGTGGGCAGTGGGACTACAAGCAGGAAGAGGATGACCGGGAAGAGCTGCGGGAGAAAGACAAGACCACTGGCCGCACGCAGAGGGTTATCAAGCACCCACTCTTCCGCCCGTTCAACAGCACGCAGGCAGAGGAGTATCTTGGCGGACAGCCGGCGGGTGAGGTGGTGATCCGGCCGTCGTCCAAAGGCAACGACCACCTAGCCATCACGTGGAAGGTGGCGGACGGGGTATACCAGCACATCGACGTGTTGGAGCTGCAAAAGGACAATGAGTTCTCCGTCGGCAAGGTGTTGCGGGTCGGCAGCAAGTACACGTACACGGATTTGGACGAGTTGATCGTGGACCATGTCAAGGCGATGGCGCGCAAGGTGGAGGAGTTGATGCAGCACGAGAAGTTCCAGAAGGGATCGAAGGCTGATCTAGGTGAGTTCCTCCTTTGCCTGTATTTTTTGTTTCTTTCCTTGGGCGCTTCTACATATCTCACTGTTGCCCTCTGCTGGGGCGGTGGCTCGGCGCGAAGGGTTGCTAATACTAGTCCAGAAAAATGGCTAACGACGTACATCGACGCCAACCCAAACCGATCGACATATGCCTTCTGTCTGGACCCACGACACCCAGGATACTTCTTCCTCTGTTTCAAGGCGTCACGGAGCTCCAAGGTAATTGGCTGGATGATCCGCGTGATTCCGCACGCATACGAACTCATGAAGAGCCAATACCCCGACATGCGGGCGCTCTGCAACGGGTTCAAGTTGCGATACCAGAGCGAGATGCTCAAGATGCAGTCGAATGGTGCAGGGAGGGGCCATTAGATTGGGGTCAGCGACAGAGGCAAGAAAGAATGTCCATTATGCCCCAACCCGGCCTCGGACGACACCCCGGGGTCAAATATGGTAGAACTAATGCGCGGATGTATTTTAGAGCGGCAATTTGAGGCGTTGAAGGACAGGACGATTCCGTAGTGCATTTTTCTACCCGTCACGAAAAGCAAAACGCAGTTACCTAAGAACCCTCACTAGAACCGGGGGATTACCGCAGTATGTCCATGATTTTCCACATGTCCCACCATAGACACACCGAGACTTTCCCGAATTCTCTCCTCGGATCCAACCATGCGGATGCGAACTTGCGAGGTGAACCCGGATGGTAGCCAAGATATGGCCAAGATGGCCAAGCTCTGGAGATCATCCTTGGCGCAGACTTGGCGGAAAGGGAAAGTGGACTTCATCTCTTTCAATTCCTTTCTCTCTCCCCCCCCCTCTCTCTCTCTGTCCTTGAAGCCCCTGTGAAACCGAAAACCTAACAACAGTAACAACCCTACTCGATATGCCTCGCAGTTAAAACGTCCTGTATCTTCTCCTCGTCGCTCTCCCCCCGGTCCCCTGACTCCTGTGGCCTCGGGGCAGCCACGGCGCTGGCAACCGTACGGTACGTCTTGAACACTTGGCCTTCCGGTACCGCTGTTGTCGCGCCCTCTGTCGCTGCCTCCATGTCTCCCTCATCCTCTCCGCGAGCCATTTTCCAACCAGCCCGCACAAAGCGCTCGCGGGCATATTCGGACATGCCCGAGAAACGGATGAGCACGTTGGGCCCGCCATAGGCGCGGATCTCCGCAACAAGATTCTCGAAATGGGAGCAGGTGGTCGCGTCAAGGTGCGGCGCGCTGCGGAAGTCGATCACGACAAGTCGGATGGGCGGCAGGGTCGCAGCCTCTGCGTCCGAGATGCCCTCGCGGGCACGCAGCTTGGCCAAACGACGCTCACGCGTGACGGACCAGTTGCGCTCGGCCTCGGGACTCTCGGCGCTGTTGTAGACCGGTGCGTGGTGGGTCTTGACGGTCTCGACGATGGCGGTCTTGACGGCGTAGGCGTTGGGGAAGTACACCGAATCGGTGCATTGGAATACGCGGGTGTCGCGCGGCAGGTTGGCGGGCGAGGGCACGTCGCGCGCGTTATCGAGAGCGATGGCCAGCTCGGAGCGTGGATCCGGGATGGTGCGGACACGGGCAAAGACCTGGCGAAGGAGCACATACACGATGTTGAAGCCGACGGCGCTGGCGATGCCGATCTCGGTCGACACGAAGAGCGAAACCCAAAAGGCAATCATGGACGAGATGAAGTCGGCCAGTGACGTGCGCCAGTAGTGGTAAAAGACGCGCGGCGGGCTGATGAGCGGCCAGCAGGCCGTGATGATGATAGCCCCCAGCGTCGCCTTGGGCACCCAATACAGTGCGCCCGTGAGCTTGAAGATGGACACCAACACAACCGCTGTGGTGACAAATCCCGAGAGCGGGGACTTGACGTTGCACGACGAGTTGACGGCCGTCCGCGACATGGCCCCGCCGACGCCGATAGCGTGGAAGAAGCTGTTGACAATGTTGATGACGCCGTAGTAGGTCAACTCCTGGCTCTGGTCGGTCACGTAGTTGTTCTTGACGCTAAACCCGCGTGCGATGGCCGTGTGCTCGACTGCAGACCCGATGAAGACGGCCACACTCTGCCCGGCCACGCGCGAGAGCAGCTCACGACTAGGCACCTTGGGGGTCCGCATGTCGTCGGCGTCGAACTTAACCTGCGTCACGCCGAAGAGGAAGTCGTCCGAGTCGGCCTTGCCCTTGTTGACAGCGTAGCCCACACCCGTGAAGATGACGAGCGCGATAAAGGCTCGCGTGATGGACACAAACCATACTATCTTGTTCTTGGCCCCCCAGCGTTTGCCGGCCTGTTCGAGCGCCACCAGCAGCGCGATGCCCGTGAAGCCGACGGCGCACGCATACCCGTTGGCATCGGGCAGCTTCGCAAAGATGTCGTGAATCTGCGTGGCCGTGCCATCTCCAATGCCGGTCTCGCCCAGCAGCGAGCCGACTTGGTTGAGCATGATGGTGATGGCCACGGCCGAGATGAAGCCGCTGAGGATGGGCAGCGAGATAAACTCCAGCAGGAAACCGAGCTTGAGCAGGCCGATTACTAGGCCGTAGATGCCCATCATCGTGGCCACCGCCGACGCAATCTCCGTCGGGGACCATTGGTCACCCTTCAGGGACTCGATGATCTCGGCCGTCAAGAGACTGATGAGCGATGTAGGGCCGGTGGAGAGGTCTAGGGTTCAGAAGATGGCATGGCATGTTTAGATATTACTCTCATCTTGCCGAAGTTATAAGTAGGAGGAGGTATGTGGGGCATCAAAAGCTTACCCTTAGTCGTTCCCATCAGAGCGTACAGGGCCGCCGGAAGCCAGCTGGACAAAAGGCCATATTGCACCGGGACGGTCGCGATCTTGGCATAGGACAAGCCCTGGGGGATCAGCATGAGCCCGATGGTCAGGCCGGCGACAACGTCGTTGATCAGCCACCGCGGCCGATACCGCGGCAGCCAGCCGATGATTGGGAACTTCTCGGATACATAGTCCACCACGTAGCGGGTGTTGCTAGGTCTAGTTGCCGCCTTGGCAAAACGCCCTGCTCGGTTCCAGGTGTAGTCCGTGATCAGGGACTCTTTAGCTTTGTCGACAATCTTCATCTCGTGGTGGGCAAAAGGTCTGACAGTTCCGATCGAAAAGTTGGGGTGGTGGCCAAGGGCTTAAGCAGCAAAACACCGGCACACACAGTGGTGTCAGCTTGATGAGCGCGTATGAGGAAGGGGATAAATGGTAGGTAGGTAGTTGGGAATATCTAAAGCCTTCCTGGCCCCTTATACTCACCTGAAATGCTGATGATGCTCGTGTCTCTAAATAGTTCAACACCCCGCTATACCCGGGTTGTTCCCCCCCCCCCCCCCTTCCCCCCCATTTGCCACCCTTTTCCAAAGGGCAGTGAATGAGTTCTGAGTCGCAGTCGCAAGGACCCCAAGGAAACCGCACACAGAACCGAACGCAACCACATTCTCCGGCGGTACATCAGACGACATTCAGCAAATGTCGGCCATACAACAACACCCCTCCCCACCAAAGCGCCAAGGAACCTCCCGTCCTTCCTAAAACGGGCGAGTGGAAAAGGGAGAGGAGGATTGCAGCTTGACACAGGATGCATATGCCATGGGTCTGTCCTGATGCAAGACATGGATGTAAGTACTGGAAACGAGAATTGGGTGGTAGGGAAAGGTCAAACTGTACGCAAAGCGCACGTCGTGTAAACTGGGTCGCGAACCTGTGATGAGGACGGGGGGGATGCTGCACTGACTTTCATCACACCGGCGTGCCGACATGTTGGGGGCTCATCATTTCTCTATTGGTGAGTGTAACTCGCTCATCCAGATCTTCCCCCGAATCCCCCTCCCCCGCCCATGCCTGCTCCAGCCCCTCCTAGGTAGCCCGGACGAATTAACAGTCCGCAAAGTGGCTGCCCGGCGGGTAGGATCAGTAGTCTACCCACGGAGGTAGGAAAGCAACAACCAGTGTCGCATGCCAGGGTGTTGTCACAACCATCGACACTATTCAATCCACGTCGGCAGTTAGGAAAAATTACCCAAAATATCATCATAATTATTCATCCTCTTTGTCCCTCCAGCGTGGCGGGGGCTATCCGGTTCGCTGACAAGCGCGGGAATTACCCAATGGGCGCTTCTGGCTTTCACCGTATTCCCGGTTGGCCATTCACACCAGAGGAGAGATCCGGCCACAACACGCACCGCCCAAATCGCAAGCGGCGATGGATTGCCTTCGCCGCGACGGGCCGGGATGGGCCGAGACAAGGCTCACGGACTAGCCGGCTGACTGTCTGACGGTCTCACCAACCGCTGTGGTCGCTGGCCAGCGGTCGGGCAGGACGGAGAGGCTGAGTGAGAAATAACTAGACACGAAGGAAAGTCAGATCATGTGTATCGTGGTTTGCGCTTCTCGGGAACACCCGGTCGTCGTCATCAGTAACCCCGCCTCGACCTGCATCTACCGTCGTACCCCGGGCGGTTACGAAGTCTTTAGACCGTCCCGGGCCGTGAGAGGTCACAGAGTGGTCTCGAGGGCAACCTAAGCCCAAATGCCGCTGTCATTTCCTTTACATACATGGACATCCACGTGTTCCAAACGGGAGATAATAATCAACGGCCCAAGTCTCTCTGACTGCATTGCTGTCGTGCTCCCGCATGTTGAATGCTGACGCCGACCCCGAAAGGACTCCGAAATATATCCGTCTTGCCCCGATTCGAGATTTGGAATGGATGGTCGCACACAGCCACCGTTACAATCGATGCACCTGATGCGCTTGGTGGTGATCCGGTTTGAGCGAATAGCCGGAGGTCCCGGGCCACACACTCGCGACAGCCCGATAGATCAACGCTCAGCTTTCCAGTCCGAGCGCGGGGATTTCCATAATCACACACTCTTGTTGCGCCCTGGAATGATCAAGCTTTACCGCCGAGAAAAGGTATGTGTGCATCTCCTTGGCCATGCGTCGTGCCTACTAGTCGTGATCGAGTGACTACCTATCTAATATTAGTAGCTCGCTCAAGCCAATAACCCTGTTCTTCTCCTAGCCGATTTGCAGGGGTGTTTCACCTTCAGGCAACTTAAAAGCAGGCTTTTTTTCAAATCAAGGGTGTAGATCACACAGCTTCTTGACAAGCATACCTATGATTTTCACACGCGCGCACAGTACACTATGGGTTTGCACATTTGCTACCTAGGTAGTCATACCCCATCCAAGTACCTCGGGTCTAAGATCTGGGATGATGCAATCTCCGGCGGTGTGTGGTGAACTGAGCTAAGCTCAGCCAACACAACCGGCTTGCTGCTATTACCGCCCTGGCGGTAGCTGTCCTGCGGCCAAGCTTTGTCGTCGACGTACCGGGCCAGAACGCTGGGTATCTTCCTCTCCCAGCGCCATAGGTGGCCACTGCCACTACCAGTGCTGGTACTGCTGTCATACCAATACTTTTCCTGGCTATCTCCCCTGCCAGTCCCAGCTCCCGTAGTGGTGTTGCTTCCCACACCATCATTCGCGTTCGCCCTCTTCTTCTTCCAAAACCAGGCAAAGACCCCGCATGCAGCTAACAAAATCCCGCCTGCAACCCCGGCCCCAATCCCCGCGGCGCCTGCAGATCCGAGGCCAGCCCCCCCTCCATCGTCGTGACTACCAGTTGGAGACAAAGAGGGCGTCGAGTCTATAAACGAGCCTGCAGGAGACTCCTTTGTCGTCGGCGATGTCTCGGCATCCGCAATGCCATCCACGGACGTGGACGTGGTAGTTGGTGGTCGGGTATGCGCCGTCGTGGTTGTGGCTGCAACGGAACTCGAGATCGCCGGGCCGAATACCTGACTCCCTGTTTTCCTTTCCTCGCCGACGATATTGAACGTCGGGCTATTGGCACCAAATCCTCCTGTAGTCCCCGGCCGCAGGTTGAACCAACAGGGCGTGAGTGATGTGAAGTTGAGTGTCACCGGAACGGTAACATTGTATCCCGGCGCGGGTTGTCGGAAGACTATCACCTCGGAAACTCTCTGTTAGCAACGACAATATCCTCTCCCGCCCTCCACCTCGCTTTCTTTTTCTTCCATCGTAGGTTCCCGACTAGGAAGGTATCGTGGACGGAGGTCATATCTTACTTTGACGGTCCCCGTTATCACAAAAAAGATAAAGGTTGGGGGCTGGGAAGGGCGACGTGTATGCGACGTTGAGGATGTCCATAGTGTTGTACGTCTGCCCATCCGTGGGGTAAAGAAAGACCACACCGTGGTTCGGGTCGTTATCATATTGCGCATCCGCTGCCGACAGTAATAATATATTCACCAGCAAGGCGAATATGGGTGTCCCTCTAGGCCCCCTCCCCCTGCCTGATCGGCGAGTGGCAGCGAGAGCCATCGTCCAAAGGACCGTTGACCGATCGTATAATTGCGCGTGGCCCGGGCAAAGCCGGCGAAATGAGGCCCTTAGACACGGGGCCGGTCTGGATTGTCCACGGGGCGCATGTACCTTGCTTCAGCGCCAGGGACTCGTGACGATTTCAGCCTTTCGCAGTTCGAACGGGCCGCGACGCAACCACACTTGTAATATCGTGAGAAGTACAGCGAGGATTCGGCGAAGAAGGCGTGAATTTGAAGATGGCTCCCGACACACGGCATTAATTCATAAAGCCCATTTTGTCAAGAGGGTTTACTCCAGGTCGCGCGTGGCTGGTGCACCGCTGTGCCACACCCGCCCCGGGAAGGAAGCCACTCCATGGTTTCATGAATTCGTAACAATCCTCCTCCTTCCCAGTTTTCTGGTTGGGCACGCTGTGCCTTAACTATGCTCCAACGCTCTCATCCATCGATAGGGCCGATGCCGCAATGCCGTAAAATCCATCTGACTACACGTGGCGAGGGGTCCGGACCGATCGATGGGAATGAAACATCCCGCTTTTAACACCTGTCCATCCAAGGGTTCTGATAATAAGCAGCAGCTCTGCCGCCGGCCGTCAGATTGAATTAATAGAAAAAGGGGCAATCAAGGATGGCGCAGGGCTTGCTGATTGATTTCGTGGCCATCGTCGTCCCATCATCCCATGCAATTCTTGGTCATGGGATCGTTGCGGCAAAAGTGAGCCAGATGTTGAGAGTTGGAACTGAGGCCATGGTTCCAGATTGATCGACGCACCCACCGACATATTTAATTATAGTTAGGCACCAAGAAGCAAGCGGGGCCATGAGATGGTGGAGATGGTGCCAAAATCAGTGCCCTTCCGCAGAGTTCGTTTTTGTGGGTGGGGTCAAGCGTCTAAATTGCGCCTTCCCAACCGACGTCGCTTCCTGACAAAAGACCCCCGTGACCTCCCACCAAGGTGAGTATGAGTGGGACGTGGTAAACTCATAAGCCCAACTCGCACCCTCAAAACGCAGAACAACTTGATTGACGCCGAACTGGGGGCATAACATTATTCTAAGTTAGTCCATCAACAAACAATACAACCTTCGTTTCCTCATTTGAAGATGAACAGTGTCGAGACCCCTGCATGATTAATGAGTGTAGGTCCCACCTGATTTTTGATGTTGTAATTCGTTATATTCGTGCACGGTAATTAAGGTTAATTACCTACCGACCTAGTTTTTCATGTTGGGCAAAATCTTTCTGTCTTCGTGGCTTGCCAGGCCGCTACGCTAAACCGATTCTGTCTTCATAGTCTCAGGTTTTTCGTTATCTCGGGTCCCGAGCATTCCCATGGGCAGATTTGGTGAAAGCAAACCCTCTTCTCCAAGCACCGCAGCGCATCCCCCAATGACAATGTTTCTGGTTAGCGCGTCGGGCCGATCCACCGTCGACCACGCATGCAGCGTTGGCATGCCATTTTTGACAGTGGGGATTGTCGCACACCGCCAGTCACCTCACACAGTGATGAGTGACCCCCTGAACACGCCCTCTCAATAGTTACCCCTCCGGGACTCCTTGTCAAGCAAGCAACAAGACTCGACCCCAACTCCGGCTCACAAGCCACGCCCTTTGGGAGCGCCCCCGTGTCAGACAAGCCCCTCTCCGATTCTGGTGCTAGATGCTGGTGAACCCGCAGTAGGAGGACCCCTAATCCCCCTAATCAGGCACGTCGGGCGCCCGAATTGTGCCACCAACTGATGCCCAAGTTGATTGGCCACAACACTGGCTACGCAACGCTGACTATCGGCCCCAGAAAACAACAAACGGCCCTATAACCCCCGAGAACTAAAGCATGGACCTGGTTCCGGGCTGGTTGCGTTCGGTGTTGCACCGCGATAGCCTGGATGAGAGCCCAATCTTGGCCGTTGAGCGGCTCGGCTCACTCGACCGACCCCTCCAAGACACAGACAAGGATGTCCTTCTGGGTGCCGTCTTAACCATGAGCTCCAGCCTTCATGTTGCTCTGGGGATGCTCCAGCAAGCGTTGCCCCTGGAGAAGTCGCAAGAACGGTTGGGCGAGGTCTTATGCCCGACACTCGGCCATCTGCTCACTTCGCTTCGGGGCACTATGTACTCCTTTGAGCAAAACGGCGCGCCAGTGGCCGGCCCGGCATCTCCATCACTACCGCCAGAGCCGAGCGCTGAGAAAGACATTCCCGAGCCGGCAACGCCCCAAGTCCCTAGCAGCAAGAGTAGCCGCAGCGCATCACCAAAGACCAACGGGAAACAGACGCCCGTAACAGATAATAATCAACATCGCCCCTCCGCGGCCACCCTACCGTTAGCCAAAATCAACTCTCGCCCATCAACTCCTTCCTCGCGGCGGAGACAACGGCCAATCAGTACTCGGACAGACAATACCGAGAGGTTTCCGTCATATCGGGACAGCACGTCCACCAGCCACTTGCATTTTGAGCTTGACATCCATACAAGGTCGGAATCCCACCTTACCAAGTCTCTACAGGCCGAGAAACGTGTTCACGCCGCTATCCGCGTCGCGATCGAGTCCCTCGAGTTTGCCGAAGGCCAACTCAAAGTTGTCCGGGAAGTCAACCAGTTACACGGTGGGGGTAGGTTCCGCGCCTCTCTATTCCGATGACCTTATCGCGCTCTGCTGACCACCCTCTTGCTGTGTGTAGACTTTGAGCCGATCCAACGGCATTTCTATGAGGGATACAACCGTCTCTTGCTCCGTGCTCTAGAGCTGCAACGCCGAGAATCTGGCCTATTGTCCAACCGGGAAAGCCTGATCTCGGCCGCGCCTATCCGGGAACAACAGCCATATCAGCAGCCAAATAGTTACGCATCGGCGCAGGCAACCGCAACACCATCGAGACAGCCCTCCGTGTCGTTCCAGACGATCCCGGCCTCACAGTCCCCGGCCACCACGCCACGGCCCGTTGCAAATTCCCATGCCGCAGCACGTTTGGATCGGCAACCCTTAGAGCGGAGAAATACAATACCAGGAATCAAACAGGAAGGCGAGCATTCACCCTCACACCACCCACCCACCCCCCCCCCACCAGTTTCTTTTACACCCAGCCGTGCCAATCCCTCCTTGTGGTGAATCAAAATGCTAACTAAGCTGTAGACGATCGAGGATCAAAGAGTAGGCCAACCCTCAAGCGTCGAATGTCGCTTGCCGACGAGCTTGCCATGGCCGGTGAGGACTCCGAGAGTGGATATCAAGACGAAACCTCTGAAATAGCAAGCTCCGCCAGTGAGCGGGATGAATCTGACCTTGAATCTCGCGACGAGACACCATCGAGTGCGGAAAAGCCGGGCAACCACGGGGGATACAGCACCACTGATGATAGTGCCGGGGATGAAAGTCCGGGCGACAGCGAGTCCGATGATGATGACGGCTCTAGGGACAAAACCCTCAGGGCTCCTGACCTCCGCGGCTACAGCCCAAATTCCACCAACAAAATCAATCATTCGAAACTTAGGCTATCTAAGAAGCATCTGTAACGTGGAGGATAGGATACGCTCCGATAAATCCGAATGGAGTGGAGGTCGGGCGAGATAGTCATGCGAATTCACGGGCGGAGCTGGTTCCGCTGGTTGTCTTTGTACCTGTCACGGCATCCCGGATACAATTAATTCGATGGAAATTCAAGCCGTGTCTTATAATACACTGCGGCTTGATTCACGGGCTACGCATCACGGCCCGTTTATGCGTGCGTTTTGATATATAATCAAGACGGCCTCCCTTACACTCCCGGGTCAACATGATCGAAGCAAGACCTCGCTCTTCATGAAGCCCCAGTCCGGTAAGTCCTGTTTGCTATTAATTATAGCAGAGCATTGGATACGTTGCCATTCGGTATTTGAGCACCAAATTAGCATCTCGCTAATTGATTACCAGTTGATGCAAGAGCCGGAAAACATCATCCCCCGATCTATTCCCCGAGTTTGTTCCTCTCTCCTGATTACATTACTTGGAACCAATTAATTAATCATGAGAATGTGCAATGACGTCTTGTTTTTTGCACCGTCGCGACAGAGGCGGTGCGGAGTTCATATCTGCGAGAGTCACCTGTTCCAGTTGATATCTCCAATGGAGGAGGGACAGCCAGTAGGGAGCCCGATGCCCGGCTTGGCCACGAGGAAAGCTCCGGGCGTGGTTGAGTACAAGGATGCCCGATGGCGCGTACTTGCACAACCAACAAGCGGATTTGAAATCAAAGCCGCCCAGTTATGTAGTTGGATGTTTCACGGGGGACGTGTGTAATTACCTACCTAGGTACCTAATTAGGTATGTACCCGATTAACCACATCTCAATTTGCCTGGTTTCTGAATATTGGCCCCAGCAGAATTTCGAGGGGGTTCCCGCTGGTAAAAGCAATCCGAGAGTTTACATTTCCCTATCCATAAATAGGTACGGAGTAATAATTAACACACGAGACTCTTAAGGTAACGCTACCCTGGCCGGTGACGGCATTCGTTGGCGAGTTAGTCCGAACCCAACTCTCACTCAATATTACCTGCACTCGCTCTCTATTGTTTCTGGGGTCAAGGGGAGCTGTCGATTCAAGTATTAGGCCAATTCATTATATGAACTTGACATTTGTCATCTGAACATGGTGTCTTCGAGCGGTTCCTCTGTAACGCCGATCTAGAGTAGTGATTTTTAATCAGCCGGAGACCTTTCGGACCCTTCGGTCCACAGTTGCACCGGACTGCGATGGCGTGACCGCGCGTGCTCGCTGCCGTCCAACCCGACAACTCCCCAGGCGCATCCCGAATCCGATGCATCGTCATGACGCAGCAATAGCATTGGCTGTGTCCGGAGGGGGTATTCGGAGGGGCATGGGGAGGAGGGGGGTCACGGCCCAGGCATAAAAGAATCATATCCCCATCTCGAGGAGACAAATACTGCCGACATAGCATTCGGCCATTACTTGCCCATTTCGCTCAATCGCAAAGCCCTTGCCAACCAACAACACAATTTTAGTCCCTACTCGTCGTGTCACCGTGAGGCATTCCTACAAAACAGCTAGTTCCATCAACAACATGGCTGCCGCAGACGTCATTAACCAGGCCGCCTTCGCTCCCCACTCGGCCATCGACTCGGCCATCGTTCCGCAACCCGCTTCCGGTCCGCACCATGTCCGTGACACGGTCATGAACTACTATGATGACCCGAATGACGGTACTCCGCCGACCCCCTACTATGTTGGGTAATTACCTCGGGTTTCCATCCCCCCTCTGGGCCGCGTGAGAAGACGAAAGGCACCGACGCTGACTGCTATTCCAATCTTCCTAGCCGGCCGATATCCGAACAGCTGAAAGCCCGTCCCACCGTCCCCGTTCACGTTGACGTCACGGACATCGGCGGCAATGAAGACAAGTACACGCTCGATAGCCACGGGTTTCAGGTCGTACGCCACGCGAGCGAGGAGAAGGACTTTTTGGACGAGGAGCAGATCAAGAGCCGCTATTACGCGGAGACCACGCAGCTGTTGAAGGACGTGTAAGTTTGCCCGCATCCTCGGCATGAGTGGCACCCCGTCTGGTGCTTTCCGTCTGACTGTTGTTGCGTTCTTTCTGATCAGCACCGGGGCTACGCGCGTCCTCATCTTTGACCATACAATCCGCCGCGTGCAGAAGGCCGAGACCCCGGAAGCGGCGCTCCGCGGCCCAGTTCGCCAGGTTCATATCGACCAGTCCTATGCAGCCTCTGAGGACCGAGTGCGTTACCATCTGCCTGACGAGGCCGAGGAGTTGCTCAAGAAGAGGTTCCAAATCATCAACGTTCGTCCCCCTTCCACCGCCCCCCAAAAGGGCCAAAGCTGCGTTGAGGGTGAGGACGAGCGAGGGCTGACGTGATCTGCCGCTATTACCAGGTTTGGCGCCCTATCAAGACGATCCTGAAGGACCCTCTCGCCATCGCTGATGCTCACTCTGTGGACGACTCCGATCTCGTGGGTGCCGCCCTCATCTACCCGCAGCGTAAGGGTGAGACGTATGCCGTGAAGCCCAACCCGAACCACCGCTGGTATTTCAAGTACGCCCAGAGACCCGACGAAGTGACTCTGATCAAATGTTACGACTCGGTCGTGTCCCCCGATGTCGCCCGGCGCGTTCCACACTCAGCCTTTACAGACCCGGCCGAGGAAGATAAGGAGTCACGGGAGAGTATAGAAGTACGCACTCTGGTATTTTACGATTACTGAGGGGCAATTCCAACCAACGGTGGAAACGTAGCTACATGTTCTGAGGATCGTTACTATCTGAATCTGTTGATGGAAGTCGTGATTGTCTGGTGTCAATGAAACCTCTTCAGTAGGATGAACAGGTGTAGGACGCCTCAGTTCTAAGCGGGGCCGTTGGTAATACAGGTTGATAGTATCAGATATGGGTTAATTCACGGATTATATCACCAACTGGTCTTAACCACAGTCCGAAAGCATTCTGCCACAGCCGTGGAATATGATTCTGAGAATTGTGATTCGGTATAGCAATGACATTCGTACTTGAGTATAACGCAGTTAATTTCAATCTGGAAGGTGTAAGTGAGCCAGGTTAGTGCTAGAGACTAAGAGCTCACGAGAAAATATATATATATATTATTTCAATTCTCGAAGCCTACTTACATCCAGTGTTACAGTTAAAGCTCCAGCGCAGAGAACTCCGTGAGTGTCTACTCTATTAATTTCAAATCTTTCTATTTCTAGACAATGAGAATGAAACTATTTGCCCCGAACGATTCATAATTGAACCCTACAGAATAATTACTATTTCTAATACATAAAATAAAGTCTAAAATGAAAAGACTAGAGAAAAGAATAAAGCCTATAAAAAGGCCGAGTTAAAAAATACTGAAAAGAACTAAGAGGTCTTGTAATAAAAGATCCTATTATTAAGGGCTCAGTTCTAAGACCTATGATAATAAGACCATATGACAGCATATATAATAGTATATGCGCTTATATAGGCCTACCAGTACTAAATATCATAGCCTAGCTCGTGTAGCTAATTATAGTATTAGTAGTAGTGGCTAAGATCAGCTAAGGATAGAGGCACTCTCAACTGTACTTTAGGAATATATAAACTACTTCTATATATATTTAGATAGACTCTATATATCTATACGATCTTTTCTTTCGTTTAACAACTTCAATCTAATCCTTCCTATATCTTATACCTTTACCTTTAGGGTTACTATTCTACTATATTACTATTTCTATCTATACCTCCTTATAACTATAATAGTTATAAGCCTAATATTTAATTAATCCCTATTTAACTTACTTTAAATAAGTACCTTAGGTTTAGTCTATAATATAATTAAAACATATCCTTTATTTAAAACCTCTACCCTTATATACTTAACCTATATTCTTTAATACTCTCTTACTATCTATTATAGATCTAGAAACCCCTTTAATAAAGATAATTTTATTTATAACCTCCTATAATCTTAATAAGCCCTTTAACTAATATAATTGATATAACTAGCTTAAAATAATATAATTACCTTGGAAATATAGGAGTTTATTACCTATAATTTACCTAAAAATAATAAAGAATGTCTTCTTAGCTTAATTATATCTTTTAACTATATAGATATTATTAAAGACTATTAAGCTATATTAAATAGGTATAATGAAGAAGACTTTAAAATCTAAAAAGATAAAGGTAAATTATTAAAGATACTTTAAAGCTAAGTTAAAACAATAGTTAATTTATTAAAAGTATTAAATAATACTTCCTTAAACTTATTAAGTTAATTAATATAACTATTAAACCTAATATATATAGCTAAAAAGTAGCTTAATTAAAGATTGATAAAAGTATATAATCTCCTAAAAATCTTATATATTAATTCTAGCTAAATAGATTAAATTATTAAAGATAAAGTATAAAAAATATATTCTAAAGTACTCTACTATTAGTATTAATAGGTCTATCTTGATCCTAAAAATAATTATCAGACTTTAAGAATATATATAATAAAGGGGTTAACTTCAATATCCTTAAAGTATAAAGGATATATATTATTATTAATTTGCTTAAATATATAAAAGTAATTATTATGTAAATCTAAGGAGATTAAAAACTTCATAAAGTTTAAGAGTTAAATATTATAGAAAAATATCTATTAAAGCTTTAAAAGCTTATTATTAACTTTATGATTATTATTAAATATAAGAATATAGTTAACTCTTTTATCTTTATAACTTTTAAGCCCTTAGAGGATTATAGACTTTTAAAAATACTTTAGATTATAAAGACTATATAGGTATTAATACCTTTATTATATTCCTTTCTATATTTAAAAGCTAATTTACAATAATACTTTTATATCTATATTTACTAATAATAGTTCCAAGAAGATTCTAGACAAATATAAAGTGGAGATTTGGAAATATTTTATTAATATTTACTAGGATTTACTTTATAATAGACAAGAGAAGTAGAGTTTTAATTAAAAATATAGCTTTACAGAATATAGTAGAATAATCTAGGCCTTATAGGAAATATAGTATTTATAGGAGATAAAAGTATTAAATGTCTATAATAGACTATATAAATATTAATAGATATAGAAGTTATTTATTTTAGTTTAGAGAAATAAATATAGTAGATTATTACCTATAAATCCTAGAGATAAGGATAAAGAGATAAAACATATAATAGCCTTAATTAAAAGGATAAAACTAGAAGATAGTTAATAAATGGAAGGTAAAGGTTAAAATAGCCGATAGTTTAAGGCTAATAGAACTAAAAAATAAAAGGGAGCTAAAGCTATAGATATAGGTTGAAGGGGTAAAAGGTCTAAAGGGGATATTTAAATAGTTAGTAGAGAAGCTTTAAATGATTATTATAATAACTATCTTAAGGAAAATGGTAATAAGGGAAAGGAGGTTACGATAGTAGATAAAGGAGATATAGGAGGTAAAGAAAGAGAGAAGAAAGATAGAGAGGGAATATAGGGTAGTACTATTAAAAGGGGGTAAAAAGAGGTTTAACTAAAGCCTATGAAAGGTTAAAAGGGTAATTAAAAAGGGGAAGACCTGGCTATAAAGGACTATCTTATAGAAGGCTATTTATAATATTAAATTATTATAATATTTGAAGTAAGAGATAAAGTATAAAAGGTTTTTATTATTGGAGATTTTAAAATTCCCTACATTGAAAAGATAAAGAAGAGGGTAAAGGTTAATTATATATAGAAAGAAGATGAAGGCTTTAATAAATTGATTTTACTTTAATATAATAGTTAACTTTATAGATATAAAGGACTTAATGCTAATTAAATAATAGGCTTTGAAGTTTAATATAAAGAAGGAAGTTATATAAGAGAATATTTAAAAGATAATATTAAAGATTAATCCATAAAAGGCCTGAAAGGATTATATCTTTATTATAGAAGGCTATTATGTAGGATATTAATAATATTAATAAAGATATATTTTAAAATTAGATAATTTCTAAAGAAGTTTGAAAGGATAAGGGTAATAGTACTATATAGATTAAAGAAGACTCTCGAAATATATAAGACCTTTAGAGGCTATAGGTCAATTACCCTTTTATCAATAATTAGAAAGGTTATTAAAGCTCTAATAATAAAAAAGGTTATAAAGGTAATAGAGACTTATACCCTACTATTAAATAAGTAAATAAAGAACTAGAAATATAGGTCTATAGAGATAATAATATAATATAATTAATAATAATATAAATATAAAAGGCTTAAAGATAAAAGATAACTATCTTTTCTCTATAAATAAATATTTTAAAGGTATTTAATATAATACAGTATATTATATTATTTACTATTCTAAAGTTAAAGGACTATTTACTTTAAATAGTCTATTAGATTAAGGCTTAACTAAAGGATAGAGTAATAGTACTTTACTTTAATAGCTAGAAAATAGAATATATATTAATAATAATAGATATTCTATAGGGCTTATTATATCTATTAATCCTATTTATACTCTATATGGTATTACTATATAAAGCGTTAAAGGTAATATATCGAATAGCTAATATAAATTTAATAATATTAAAGAAAAGTCTAGAGGTATATATAAGGTAGTTAAAAGGGGCCTAAAAGACCTATCGAAGGTAGATAAATACCTAGAAGATACCCTTTATCCTCTAAAAATATAAGTTAATCTACTTTAAGAAGGGTAGAAGGTAATAAATTAACCTAGTAATATTAATAGCCCCTATAGATAAGGGGAATAATAATACTATAAGGTTATAGGAGTTAATATAGTTCTTAGGGATCTAGTTAGATGAAAGGCTAAAGTAAAGGGCCTATTAATAAATATTGGAGAAGAAGTTAAAGACCTAGGACTTTATCCTATTAAAAGTAGTAATAAAGATTGAAAGGCCAAGCCTAATAAAGGCCTAAAAGGTGTATAGAAAATATATTAGAAGTATAAAATATTTAGAGCCTTTAGCTACTATTAGCTAACTAGGTTAGAGGAGAAATTAAGGGTATTACTAAAGATTTAATAAAGGTTTAGAGTAGAAGCTCAAAGACTATTATTAGGGTTTGGAGGTTAACCCTAATAGGGTATCTAGAAATAGAAATAGAGGTCTTTCCTTTAGACCTTTATCTAAATAAGAGGCGAAAGGACTCTAAAGTATACCTTTAGAGGAAGACCTTATAGTTAGAGGCTAGGCTAGATATTACAATCTAGCTAGTATAGCTAGTTATAGTATTGGTGGTAGTAGCTAAGATTAGCTATAGATAGAGGCGCTCCTAATTGTACTTTAGGAATATGCAGTCTACTTTCTTATATATTAAGATAGACTCTATATAACTATATAATCTTTTCTTTCATTCAATAACTTTAATGTAACCCTTCCTATATCTTATATCTTTACCTCAAGGATCACTATTCTACTATACTACTATTTCTATTTATACCTCCTTATAACTTTAATAGTTATAAGTCTAGTACTTAATTAATCCCTATTTTACTTTGTTTAAATAAGTATCTTAAATTTAGTCGTCTATAATATAACTAAAATAGATTCTTTATCTAAAACCTCTATCCTTATATATCGAACCTATATTCTCTAATACTCTTCTACTACGTATAATAAATCTAGAAACCGTCTAAATAAAGATAATCTTACTTATAACCTCCAATAAACTTAATAAGCCCTTTAACGATTATAACTAGTATGATCCGCTTAAATATAATATAAG